AATATATTTGCAAAATACACTTTTAGCCAAATTACAGTATCTGGGTGTGTGTTCAACATCTTCCATTGTACAGCGTATAGCGAATGTGTTTGCATTTAGACTTTGGCATTACAAATCTACATTGTGTTAGCAATTGTATTATGGAGTGACTCATGCAGCCAGCTATGGCTGCAAAGTTTGGTCGTGCATGTTATGGATATCGTTTATTGTTAAATTTGAATCACAGTTCCTATGATCACTTACATTGTTTTTATAGCTTTATCTTGGTGATTTAAAGCTTTCGTGACTGCAGGGATTCATCTTCTTGTTTCTTTCGTTCATGAGGCGATCCACATATACAAACACAGAGACAATTTTAACCGAGAAGATGGATTCTGGCTCAGCAATCATTGGAAGGACGTAATAAACCATTTCGATACACATTAGGGTGTGTAGAATAATACATAGTGTTATATTAAATGTATAAGATATAGGTTGGTTTACAGCAATACAGTATATAATTTAATGTTGGGTTTATCTATGGCAGTATATAGTACGGTATATGCTCGTGTGATATAAGAGAATAAGGTTTAGATGGAAGCATATTATAGAATTTTTACGAGGTAGAATTGTAATGTATTACTTGCTGTTAGTAACTCAGCTTATTATAGAGTATAGTAAGTATACTGATGGTGCGATGCAGTTTATACTTTAGTTTTTTATGTAGTTTATACTTTAGTTTTCTACGTGGTTGTTGAGTAACTGCAGCTACATATCATTAACATTCCTTTCCTTTGTTACTGCTAATCCCTGCACCCCCCTTGGTTGCTGCTGATCCTGCATAATGCATGGGCATAATATGACTTTGACACCCCCCCGCCCAACGCCTACGCATTTTCCATGAATATGCTAAATTCCTCTTCACATGCACATTCTTTTTGTTAAGGCGCTCTTCAACCCCCAATGCAGCTTATATATAAGCTCCTAGTTTGGTAGTGTCTCATTCTTCACCTGAAGACGGCTGCTTGCGTTGTAGCCGAAACGTCGTGAGAATTGTTTTATTATGTTTTATTTTTATTATTTTATTACTTCCCTTCTACGTGACTTTACCGAAAGAAACAAGAAGATTTATCTTGGTGATTTCGAAAAGTTTTGGTTTAGCCATATTTGTTTGTTGTAGTACACAGAGTTAGACTGATTTAATCTAAATTGTCTTATGGTTGTTATTGTTTGACTTGTATCCCACTGAGATTTTTGCACACAGCGTTGATGTACGGTGCTTTTTCTGGAAGACTTTGCGGTTTTTTCCTGAATTTTTCTGTTGCGCGTAGTCACTTTAAGATGTTTCTTGTTCATGTTTTTGTTTGTTGCGGTTGCACCCGATTCAAGAGCCGCATGGCTCATAGGGCTATGCCTAATACATTAAATGAAATGTATTGAGAATGTTGAAATGTCCACAATGTGCAGGGAAAGAGCACCAAAATAATACGAAAAAAACTATAACATATCAACTAATTATTTCTAATAATTAAACACTTTCCTACAAAGTGGATCGTGGCTTAAGCGTTAGCTTACCGTCAGTGTGTGCATGTACTCATGAATCACCCGCAAACGACATTTGTTTGATACACTTTATTTTACACTGCAATATTTTCAATTCATAGCGCATCTTAGAGCGACTGCATGGATATCATGACGCTGTACAAGCTACGGGGCGATGCGCATGAATATGATGTCAAGAAAAAAACGCCTAAAATGTTTAACATTCGTTACAAAGTTTTATTTTTATTCTCAACGTGACTCCAGCTGTCAGGATTCGTTTGAGCCAGTATTTTACCACCACTGCCAAGGCAGCCCCTCGTATGTATATTGAACTTATTTCGCACCGTGCGTAGCCAACCGTGCAAATCGCAGGTGAGGGGGAATATCAACACATTATCTCAGCAAGCAGTTCTCAAGAGGTGAGTCTTCAATTGAATTGTATCTGAAGCTACCAACCACATCTTGAGCAATTACCAATTCCACATGCAATTAGTTAGCACTCACCTCGAGTCTGGTAATCGGTGGCGTCCATGGCTCTTCTGGCGTTGCGTGTGACCACTCAGATGAATGAGCAAATTGCCCGCTGAGTCGCAGTTCGACTGACTGGGTCGCAGCTACACCGTCCGCAGGACTCACTCTCTGGCTAACTGTTGACTAGATGGCTGGGTGAATGCCTCTAATGGAATGAGTGGCTACCGGTTGTCGAGTGACTAGATTTACAAACGAGCACGTTTTGTATGGACCGGGTTGGTCTCTAAGATTCTCGACAGTGTGCGCAACCGCCCTTTTATTGCGACTGAAGAGACGCAGCGAATGATCTAGAGACCTGCATCCTTAACCAAACCCTCCTTGCGAGAGAAGGCACGTGGCTCAAGATAGGGGCACTCTGTGTACACACCCACCAACCTTTACTCATCGGTTTTTACAATGATATTTGGCGCATTAACAATAATCTGTGCACGTTGGCATCGTTCGCTTACACTTGCATTGTGCGTTCACTGGTTCATGAGCCTGCGCAGCATATGGTGAGAGGTCTCGGGACTGCAACACATCGTTGTAGCTGACAATGCACCATGGTTCATTGATGTGATGAGCTATTTGTCGTACACACTTCACCCAACCATTATGTGAAGGTGCAACTACTTGTTGTCGCAGTTCAAGATAAAGAGAACAAATGAAGATGAGAACAGTTGAACAGCAAGTCTCAAAATCGTCAAAAGTAATGCTGGAGTCATCCGCAACGCATTCAATATCGTTCGTGACTGTTTGAAGTTTGGCTCATATTGGGTTGTGATGCCAAAAGTGTCAGCAGATTGGGAATGTTTGTTGGGCTCCTCACTTTGTTCAGCTCCTGCACATCACAATCAAGCTCAAAATCAATATTTCTCAATGTATCACAGAGTATATCAGCTGCGGCTTTTGCAGCATCAAGTTAGCCAGCATCCCAGGGCTGAGCTTAGATGAGAATGTTAAGTGGTGCAGTTTGATGAGCAAACCAATGTTCTCTTTTCACCATGCTCTTTCAGCAAAAAACATTTGATTACACCGCTGTCATTGACAACGGTGTAAATCAAACGTGTTTATGAAATCTCGTATCACACACTATCTTTATTCAAAGTTCGTCCCGATAATTTTTTATCAAGTGTTTGATGCTAAAATAATCACTTCTCAATTCAAAATAAATAATACCTGATAAGCTAGAGCAGTCCGTGATATCCGGGATTTGACATACTTGATGTCCATCTTCTTAAAAAGAAATGAAATGCTGGTAGCTTAAAATAAATGTAAAATGTGAACTCTAAAACCCAAATACCTGGGGATTTACACCAAAACCAGCCCCCTAGGTAGTCTAGAAGGCAAGATATGGTAACCTATAGAAATTATATCTGCCATTTTGAAGAATTATGTTCAGAAAAAAAACCACTGATCTTTTATTGAAGTCAGCCCAAGTTATTTTACTTGTGAATAGGTTGGGGAGTTCATAAACTGGCTTCAGCTTTTAAGATTTAAAAGTATATGGCATGGCGGATATTGCATGGGGCCTGGACAGAATGCCGCGTGTTATATCCTACCCGAACAAATTTCCTTGTCTGCATGTCTATAATAGCTTATACATTAACAAGAACACGAGATGAATAATTCAATTATTCTTTGGTAACTTGAAAGCAAGGATGTCCACCGAGGAGATGGGAGTGGTGAAATTAGCTCGTGCAGGTAATAGATGCATTGTTACATTGCGAGACCGTGAAGGACTGCATGGAATGATTTTTAGCTACATCCTCCACTTTGGCCGAACGGATATACAAGGTCGCACTCATTGCACATAAATTGCTTGCCACAAATGAACCACAATACCTTTCTGATCTCAGGGAGCGTAAACCATCATGCAAACTCCAGTTTCGCAGCGGTTTTTGGCTGGCCATCGAACAAAGACGTTCGCTGCATGCGCACTTTCAGATGCGCTTAGTGACCGTCTGGAAAGCTCTTCCTTCCGATAATAGGAAGCTACTGGAGCGATGCACTTTTAAATTTAGATTGAAAATTTATTTCTTTAGAACGGCTTTTAGTTTGTCCTTCCCCCGCAACTCTGATTAGCACGTTCGACTGCATTCGGTGTAAAATAATTTCAACATTCAAACTTCAAATACACCTTGGACAGTGGTGATCTGGACTCAAGAAAGGTGCATAATTATTTATTAGATATGTAGTTTGCCAGAGGTCCAGAGCACTCGCAAAGCACATGTCATTTTGGTCACACTTGTAGCCACCAGAAACGACCCACAAGCGCTGTTTCACATTAAACACGTTATATGGTGATTCTGCATTGGCAGTGGTGCATAAGCACAAATAGCTCTTACTGCTAGACACCACTTTCCAGACAAGATCAGTCCAAGTCCAATAACACATTCCTGCGGAGGGAGCTGGTAGGAACGTTGGGTTGCTCGGTCAATGGGCAGGGTCAACGGCGGCGTGGTGTATTCCGCTAATATGCCCGACTGAGGGCGGGCACAAGCCGGCCTGAGTAGGTTAAACGTTAAGTTTTATAAGGGCACCATGGGGTGACCAGCCCCTCCCCACTCATCCCACCCCCCACCCAGCCCCTCCCCACCCTCCCCACCCAGCCCCTCCCCACCATGTCGACTAACCCTTAAAAATTATACAAATTCTGAAGGCTAATAAATGAGGTTGAGCATATTAGTTGATCATTTATTAATTCCTACAGCTAAGAGCCTAAATTATGTTCATCCAAAATGAATAAGCACTTTACACTTAAAAGCAAATTGTCTTTTTAAACTGTTCCCATTGTAGAAGCCTGATTACACAACGGTCTAGAAACAACAACATTTGGATTTAGCACATCATAATTATCCAGACTTGTTACCAACCTTATGTCAGTAAATACATCTACCAGTAATATTTTCTGAATAGCTGACTAGTCCATTAAAGCAGGTACATAAACAGACACGCAGACTGGCATATGAAAGAGGTGCATGACCTTTGTTACGAAATTTTATTTGTGAAATTGCTGGAAAGCGTATTATACAAATGTACAAAAACACTGCCCAATAGTCAACAGCGATGACCTCGTGAGCTCACAGGGAATTGCCCCGACCAGTTCATGCCTTCACACCGTCATCAGCATCTGCCAAGTGCCCACCAAGGTTGACACAATTCACTGACATGGGAAGCCGGTTTGAGGTGGGGCTGCAATTACAGAACATTGGACATCGCTGTCATATATACAAATGCTTGTCCATCTGCTCCAGAATGAGAAAGAGACAAGTTGGCATAAGGAGTGGCACAAGTCAATGTATTGTGCTTTGAGGATTTGCAGTTGCAGGTTATCTATGTGTGAAGCATCTATCATGAGGAATTGTTAGTTGTCACAATGACTTACGCATTTTTTTCCCATTGGTAATCTCAGTGTTATTACAGGTAGGAACAACAGTTCCACACTGCCCACCAAGGATTATTTGTCTGTCGTGCATAGCCCCTCCCAAACATGTACGCTCCCGGATTGGTTGAAGTGCGTCACGTGACCACGAGCTCTCTGTCGAGCACAAATGCGCTGTCCAACCAAGTTCCTACCTGCCCACTCCGAAGGAACGTGTTATGCTGTATTTATCTGTTTAAGAGTTCCGAGTTTATTATACATTCTGGATGTAATATAGTCACATTTATTTTCTCGGTGTAAAATGTGTTAATCTGTAAGACAAATTTCAAAAATTAAAAATGGTCATTGAGTCTCATCTCCTAACCCAACCTACTTAACCACAAAAGCACCAGAACATGTAGAGGCAATCCAAATAACCTATATGCTAGTCCTGCGCTGTACAACACGAGTTTGAAACTTTGCTTATGAGAAGGGACTGAGAAGTGACTTTCAGGTACGTTGCCCAGGTAATCTAGTAATGCCACTTCCAAAAATTTGAATGCCATTGCAGTGACTACATTAGGATGCAACAGCTGTGCTTCAATTCAGTCGAAAGGTTTTTTTTTTCAACCTCAAATCGGCATCCTGGGACAGACAGCCTAGAAGTTACAAGAGTTATTGGTGTTTTGGGTAGCCTTATTTCGTGTGTAAAGTGGTTCTAACATGAATACAGAAGAGACTCAAGGCTTGTGAAACCTTTAAACCACTATTGGAAAACTGATTTTCAAGCGTTTGGCGGGATAAGCATGGCAGTAGACTTTTGAATGTCAGTGAAAGCTTGCATCCAATTGGCATTTAGTTTCTAGCAGGCATGTAATGATGGATACATTCTAATATATACTTATGCTCATCATACATGCATCAAATTGGGCACTTTCCCAGTTGGTTAGCTGCGATTTATAAAATTACTATGCATATGATATGCTGTTACATTTAGTCTAAGAGAATAAAACTATACGACAATAAAATAATACAAATAATACAAAACAGGATCAATTCTAATTGTATGGATAGGCTGTATTTCAAATTACAACATGATGCATCCTCTTTAACACCACTCCTCGCTACAGTTAATATGCAGTTTCAATGTGACTTACAGCCTCGCCTTTCTCATGCCCTCGTAATTCCTTTTCAAAGTTGAGAGGGAGGTGTATGGCGTCACGTGAGACATTACAAACATGTCTGCAAGAAATGTAGTATTCCACTTTCCAGCAGATTGTACATGCTTGAACATTTTACAGATGTATACATTTCGAACCTTTAAGGGCCGTTGAAAGACATTTCAGATTGAAATAGTTTGCATATATAACCAACCCTTGATTTACCAAACCTGTGGTTCAACAGCCATTCATTTTATCTATGTATTTCTTAAATGTTCTCAAGCATGTGATGGATGCATCCTGAATTAACAGCAACATTACTTGTAAAAAAAACTGTTTATATATGATAACTCAAGGTACATGCCAAAAAAATCCTAATCGCAACTAGTGACCTAAAGTTAACATATTTCAGCTTATTTTGGGAGTGGGGTAGGGAGAGGTGTCATTTGATTATGTAACAAGCACCACAATATGCTGCTCAATTGACAAATACAAATTTTGGTCCAAACTATACATGGACGACCAAATTAGAAAAAATAAAAGATACACGAGAATAACCAACATGTAATGACTCCAAGTAAGAAATGTAATACACGATACATTGATAAATGAATAAAGTAGCTACATTATCAAACAAATAAAAAACATGTTCTTGTTGGAAGTTTTTTTTTTTGTAGCCGAGTCAAACACTGGTGAAGACACCACTGCATTTGGCTATGAAAACCATAAACCTAAAAAAAATCACTAGAAAACATACCACTCTGGAATACAGGAGTACTCAATTACCACATAACGTCGTAAAGCAACTCGCCCTGCTGGTTAAAGGCGCTCTATAAATGTAAGCAATGATGGTGATGTGGAGAAGGCAGTGATAAATCAACAATGTTCCAGGCTGGTTTATGCTCTAAAGTTGAATGCCACGTGCTCAAAAGGTAAAGGTGTAGATGTAGCATTGCTAGGCTGAATTCACAATGTAGCGACGAAAGCCCCACCTCTATGTCCAGCACTGACCACATTCAATTATGTACGAAGCCATTGTACATATTATATTAAGACTCATGACAACGCATAAGACCAACTTGCATTTAGGAAGGTGCAAACATGGAAGATGAAATAACTAGTAGCTCAATGAATCGTACATTATGGGCACATTAGGATATGTTTGTAAAATAAAAACTGAATTATTAAACCGAGTGGAGACTTAGAGATGGTCTTTTCAGTAAGGAATGGGGAATATCATAAACAAGACCTGTTACGGCGTGAACATTTCAGAGCCCCACAATTTAAGTTCACGGAACTCAGATGAAATTTGATGGGATTGTTTATATAAAATATGCATACAAGTAAACCTGTTTTGCAATTTTAAACTATTGAATGAGGTCATAATTATGCCATTTCATTACATCATCACGGGAGTAACACATTACAAAGGTTTTGTTTTTGAAACAAAATAGCAGGATTTAGCATTCTAATTTGTACATAAGTTTTCGTAGGAGTGTTTTATATTTGTATTACCAGTGCTAACATTTGTGACATCACTGCTACAAGAACACCTGGACACAATAGTAAAGTCTTACCATGTTCACATTAAACCAAGTTATGAAGGCTGTTCTTAGGATACTTTGTCTACCCAAAGACTACTCTGAGAAAGTGACACGTGGTTTGCTGCCTAATGCACGAACTCTCATATTTGGACATGTGATGTGATTATATAAGGTTGACCCAGCCTAGCAGGTTCTCTTTATAAGGGTGCCTGCTAGGTGAAGGTGCCTCTTGGCTGCAGCGGATTAACAGCGACCGTTGATTGTCAGGGGATTGATGCTGCCACTTATAGTTCAGATATACCATATTACTCACATTGTCCTCACTGCACTGGCCCTTTGTAAATTACAGAATCGACTTTGAGATTCTTCTCATGTTTAAGGCCTTGAATGAATTGCTCACATTTAATATTTCACTGCAAAAACTTAGATCTGCTAATTCTGGTCTACTCATTATTCCACAGACCAGACTTTGTTCTATGGGAGATGGAGATTTTTGCAGCCAAGCTCCACGATTGTGGAATTCTCCTCCTCAGTCCATTAGGGAATCTGAGTGTTACACTTTTTAAATAATGTCTTAAAACTCACCTGTTTTTACAGGCTTTCTCCATAAATTAAGCTTTATGTAATTCTCTTTTAAGCCTTGTGCGAATTGCACGGTGGATAACCGAGTCGAGTAAAAAGTTGCTCCAGTCTGAATGGAAGTTGTGATACAGCAATGTGTTTTTTTTGGTGATATTTTCATTGGAGGTTGCACATAACCAGGTTTACATACGACAGTCTTGGATCTCAAAATGGTGTTTAAAATGCAATTTCATCAAAATCAGTTTTGTAGCATAATATACCTTATATATTTATTGTAAGTAGCACTTGTAGTGCTTCAGTGGAAGAAATTAAATCTGAAACAAAAGTATGAAAAACACATTGTAAGCGCATACATGTGGCATGTGTTTAAGGCACGGTGGGGCTCACAATAATTGATGTTTTCATCAATGTACACTAGAACCTGTCATGGAACTAAACTTTTTAATTCTGCAATTAAAACAAAGACAACTGAAGGACTTTGATGTGTATCATGTCATTATTTTTCTCAACCATTTTGCAGTCTCCTTTAAAAAACTGATTTGATCCAAGACCTGCAGCATATGGTATAATTCATGGTAGTTCTATCATGAGTCTCAAAAGCAGCATGCATCACTGCAGTGACTGAATCAAACCGGTATGTCAACCATCTGGCCGTACCACCTGTAAATCACCAATTGCCAACTCACTTGTTCTCAGGTCGATAAGAACATAAAAAAGTGTCCTGTATGTATATTCGTAGCTGTAAAAAATATAAAATGGGACTTTATTCTTTGACGACTGTGATGGCTTCTAGATTAACAGTGGCCTCTTCCACAACCACCAGCATGGCCGTGGTGGTGTCCATTGTTTCCTCGGTCTCAGGGTCAGTCTTAATGTCCACGGCTCCCTCGTACGCCTGCCCGTCTTCATTACTGCCTTTCCCAGCAACTTCAGACTCTGTCTGGGTGGCCTCATATTGCTGTGGGGCTATGTCACCACATGCCTCTAGAGTCTCCTTGTTCCTCGGCTCCTCCTCCTCTTGCGTCACCGTCACAGCAGGCTCCTCCATCGTCATCAGCACAACCGGTGCTTCCTCCAAAGTAATTGGTTCCACGCCCTCAACGTTAACAGCTTCCACCCCCTTCAAAGTGACCGATTCCACACTCTCTATTACTGGTTCCATGCTCTCAATGGTGATGGATTCGATACTTTCCAGGGTTACCGATTCCACATTTTCCATGGCGACAGATTCCACACTTTCCACGGCGACAGATTCCACGCTCTCTATAGTAAGTGGTTTCACATCTTCTACAGCAACTGGTTCCATGTTCTCCATCAAGACTGGATCCTGTTCCTCATTATCCTCAACAACCAGTTCCACATTTTCAGTCGACTCTGGTTTCATACTCTCCTCCAGGAGTGGGTCAAGATTCTCCACAGTGACCGGTTCCACATTCTCTAAAATGTCTGCTTCCAGGCTCTCTGCAGAGTCTGCTTCTACTGTCAACACAGTAATCGATTCCACATCAACTACCGTGTCAGGTTCCACCTTCTCTACAGTAACTGGTTCCATGCTCTCCACCGTGACCGGTTCAAGATTATCAACCGGATTAGTTTCCATATCTTCCAGGGAAACTGGTTCCTCATCCTCCACCGTCACCTGCACCACATTCTGCAAGATGACCGCCTCACAGCTACTGGTAGGGATGGAATTTGAGGCAGTGGTTGGGGAAGGAGTAGCAGTAGCTACCTTGTTTGCGGTGGGTGCGCTTTCCACACCTTTTCCATTATGCACATTCGCCATGGCCTCCAGCTTGGCACGGTATGCATCTGCCTCCTGTTCTTTCTCCAACAGCTGTTGACGGAACTCCTGTGCTTTACGGTTAGCCTCCGCTAGCTGTTTCTGCAGCAGCTCTTTGTCCAGGCTTGGTTGCATGGCCCCACTGGAACCTCCATGCTCCATCTCAGCCACCTTCTTGACACTCTGCTCAAGAGATTGATGTGGGAAAGGAGAGAAAGGTCAGCATGGAACGATTCACAGAGATGCCATCACTTCAGAATAGGGTAACATTGCCCAGCACAGCCATACCAGTGGTTATAAAGTACCGGTCCATGTTTCTTCTCACACACACAGCTTATTTATTTATTATTTTAACAGGTTTAAACACAATGAACATAGGTGATCCACCACCCCAACGTGATTTAATGAAAGGCTGAAATTTGAGGTCGTAATTTCATTCAATAGGCTGATTTTATTTGTCTGTGGTGAATGTAGCACCACTAACAGCTGCAAGATTTTTATGAACCAAATACATGAACATATATAAAAAATCAAATCACATTGCACGAATAATCAATCATTATTCATGACTTATGTTTGGGTCAGATCATATCAGAAGGCAATGTGTCAAACCCTCCCGCACCTGACAGCCCAATTAAATAAAATTGTCACGTGAATAAATGTGCCAATTTATTATTACTTTAGGATAGCCATAGGTTGTGGACAGCAAACCACAAGAGTGAACAATTTGGAAAGACTTTCAACTATCAGTTACAAACATGGTTAAGTCTGGGGCCTTAAAAGGGTGGCATAATGTCAGAAAGTCCATACCTGTTTTTTTGGCTTAGATCGCGTAAATATATAAATGTGTCGCTTAAACCCGCCACCACCCGACACAGCCAATTAATAAGGGTTGTCACATAAACAGAATATGCCAATTCGTCACTAGTACACCACACCGGTGTGTTAGAGCCAAGCCACAACATTTACAATCTGAGTGGTGGCGGGTTTTAACGACACATTTATATATTTACGCGATCTAACCCAAAAAAACTTATGGATGATATTAGTCGCAAAAGCCCGTGTTAAAATTTCAGAAAGAATCAGTTTGATGTTAATGTATTGAGGTTAATGCATTTGTATTCATTATACCGTGTGAAATTACAATGTGTTGTAAATTTAATATATATTTTTGGTGACATAGGTTAGTAATAGTCAACTACTTACATTAAATTATTTATGTTATGCTGTTGGCTTCAGTAGAAGTAAATACCATTTGCTACGTGTAAGTAATACAGTAAATTGTTTGTGTTTATGATAACAATCAGATTAAATGAATGAGGGTACCTACCTTACAATTAAACAGGATACTCGACCAATCAATTTGAACTTAAGACAATAGCAAATCATCAATTCCCAATAAGAAACAATATTTTAGAAAACCAATGGCATCAAAACTACCTCCTCATATCTTAACTCTGAAAACGTTATTAATCATGGAAGCTATTGTACGTAACCCTACTGAGAATGTGATTAGTTACGTGATTTTTCAAAGATTATCTAAATACATCCCACCATTGGTTGAACACTGCTTAATATTAATTTTTTTTTTACAAAAAAAGAAGTGGAGATGGGTTCTCTGGTATCCTGTTATTGCTAATCTATACGTGGAAACCTATAAAACACAAGCGCTAGATTCGAGTGCACTAAAAACCTCGCATTAATTTTAGATATTTGGATGTCACACCTGCTGTCTGGCCACATAGTATAAAAACACTGAATTCCTAAATTACCTAAATCTGTCCTTTAAGTTTACCATGGGAGTGCAGGGAAACCCTCCCATTCCTGGATATTCTGATTGCACACAACCCAAAAAATCCACACTGACACCATCAACCACAAAACAAATTCTCACATCAAGACACCCATACACTGGGCAAAACAGCATCTGATGATAAACGAGATTAAACATGTCAAAACGCAAAATACAATAATATATGATTAAAAGATCATTAAGTGTAAAAAGCAAATAATACTCTAAACAATGGAGTTGAAAACATAATAAATAAATCAACTCCCCTATATTGCAGGAGTAACTGTGTAAATTTGGCGAGATTTTACGGAGAAAAAAAAAAATCAGAAATATTTGGCACTGGTGCTAAAGATAAACGCTCAAAATAAACAAAAGTTCACCGGATGAATTGCATATATGGTAAATGCGATGTTGGCCAGACAGAGGAAAGAACATAAAAGGAACATCAAACAGACAAAGAAATTTGTCGGCTATGCAGAACGTGCATGCAAAAAAGGACATTCGATTGATTTTCATAATGCTATTGACCAAGACTAATTATAGAATCTGTTTAAATTAAGAGGAATAAAATATCAGTTCAACCAACCTGCCAGTTAAGAGGTTGAGTGTGGCTTGGAAATTAATTAAGAAAGCACATCACAACCTCAACAAAAATGTATTTAGAGCAAATGAAACTAACACCATATTAGTATAACACTAAGCATTTTGTATAACTAACCTATAACCAACCTGTATCGCCACAAATATTTTCACATTCACATTAGTGTAAAGTTTTCTCATATAAAAACATTCTATGCAACTATATTAACCTCTACACACATGTATGTACGTAGTTCGCACCGTACGAAGCCAGATGTGCTAATACACAACTTCCCGCTGCTTCCAGCTCTCTTATGGGGCATCTCGATAATATCACATGACCTAACTTAGACCCAAGGCTGGAGGGACATTTTCACAATTCTGGCAAATGGCTCATGATGCTGGCTGCAACTACAAGAAAAAGTATTCCCAACTTGTTAAATGTTGTGGATTGCTCTCCAACACAGGGGGTGCCTACCTTATGACAGACCAATTCAGACCTGATTGGTCACCCCGTGCCCTTATAAATCTCAGCGTTCATCCCACAAAGTTCCACCATAAGGGCGACACAACAAAAAAACGTTTCCCTGTACAAGAATACGGGTACATTATATGGGTTGACATAACACTAAGCATGTATGGGTGTGCTAAAGCAATAATAAATTTGCACGTTTGTTCACGTGACTTAGGTATTTGGTTGTGTAGAGTGTATGACACACAATGGCGATATTACTAACACAATCTGACCCAAAAATCTATTAATCATATTGGTCACGAAAACCTACGTGAATTCATAATAGTTTTAAACAATGACTTGATGCATTGTTACAGGCCTCAAATACACAATTTTTTATCAATATCCACAATTTCACTGACAAAGGACTAAGGAACAACTTGTATATACTGGAATTTGATTCTGAATTCCAAAGAGTGTAAGTGGATCTGTAAAGAGTGAAAGGAATAGTTTTAAATGTCAAACAGCAATGTGGGTGAAGATGAGCTACACACAACATATTGTGTTGTAAGAATGATGGCCCCTTCATTGCCCCCATCAAAATGCGACCTGGAAGCTCTTCCCCAATTAAGTATGTGCAATTGCTCACACACTCAAAATGGTGAAACAACCAGCATAGAGGGTGAAATGGAACACATGATTGTTGCAGAATGGCTCCCATGTAAATATACGCCCACTTATACCCAAGATGTTTATTCTCTATCTATTGCATTCACTGCAAGATTAAAGCCTGGTAAATTCGTCATGAGCCTCTTATGAAGGCAATTAAATAAGAGACCAAGCCATCTTTATTTTTCCCCAGCTGTCATAACAATGTTTTTCAAAACTGAGGTTCATAAATACTTCTATTCCAAAATAATGTGTTTACCAAACAAAGCCTAACCACTTGTGGACCTTCCGTTGAATAAATTGTACAAATAAAATTTCATATCGATAACATAATTTCAAAGCTACAAACTTTTATTTTATCAATGAGGAAAAAACTGCTTGCGTCTTTACAGTTTATCTTGTGGGATGAATGTGTAATTGTCACATGGGATGGTTTGGCTTGTTGCACTCCTTGCCTTGGAAATGCCCGCTTTGTGGTTGTTTACAGGGGTAGTGCACAATTTCTTGATCGGTGGCTCCCTCAGCTCCTCACATGGTTCGTTGGTGGTCTCCGTTGTCATGTGTCCCGCAGGGACAGCCAACACTGCAACCAACCAAGTGTGCGAGGTGTGAAGGCAGGGGTAAGGAACCATTTCCTTACTGAAGGCTGGATAGGACTTGCGAACATTGGCGGTCACACATTAAATATACAATGGAGTCACTTTTGTAATACAAAGCCCTTGCAAAGACGGATGTGACTGAGCATGATAAACTTATAAAGTGTAGCCACGTTCAAAATATTGGCGTCGAGTACCAAATTCGTGTCGAAGATGCTTGCAGTGACAAATAAATATTTGCAGGCCATTTTCAAGTGGCAGCCCTCATGACCATGGACCGTATAGGATGAAGTTGAGGGCCAAGCCATAGGTTCCCCACCTGAGTTAAGGTCAAATTTTACAACATTATTGCAAGACTAGCATTTTGTCCGTCCAAGGACGGGTGTATTGCAGTAAATCTGAAACTTCCAAGCGAAAAGCAGACCGCGACGTGATATTCATTGCATGAACGCACGTGCAATTTGTAAGGGCGAGGTGACACAGACCTATTTCATTTTAAGGTTATAATCCCTTGTTCATCATGACGTCCTTTTTACTTTGATGTCTCAATAGCATTACGGAGATCGCATGATGTGAGGGTTCTGCCTTTGTAATGAGGGTTGTAAGTTGACGCCGAGGAGGGGGCGCATTGGCCCCCCATGTGGAGTGACGTCAACCGCTAATTATTATGAATAGGGGGGAGTGTTCATTTGGAAGACGTCACCTTATGATTATTAATGAGGGGGGCTGTTCGATGTGAAGTGACGTCACCTGCTCATGATTATTAATGATGGGTGGGGGATAGTAGGTATTATACTCCAGGAAATAAATTCCCAGGTGCACTGCTTTGTATTTATACACCACAAACATCCATGAAGCAATTTTTAATCCCATGCACATTTGAGCAGTGTCATGTCCACAAGAACAAAACTACATTTTAAATATCAAAACATTTTATCTTTTGGTAATTTGTTTAATCGCATTTGTTTCATCAAGTCCTGACCTTGCTGCCCATTGTGCATGGCCAGCAGGATAGGCTGGCCCATGCTGCCTCCACTAAGCGCCGCTTGTAGGTTGCCCAGCTGAACGCCATCCGCTAGGATGGTGATGACTCGCTGGCCTCCAACCCCTGACACCTGCTGTATGGCAGCATCCACCGCATCAGTTTCCGTGGTAACCACCTCCTCTGCCACTGCAGCCACAATCAGGCATGTGCAAGCACGAAAAATACACAAACATAAGATCATTCCAAACTACCCACAAGTCTCTTACCAATCTAGTAATGTTAAAAACACTGCAAAAACAATGTAGTTACTGTACACTTCAGGTATGATTAAAATTACCTACTATAATCTACCTACTATGCCCGTGTGGAAATTTACACTAACGCACAAGGTCGCGCACTCCACATGCCGCACCCCTCCCCTCATTAATAACCATGAGCGGGTGACGTCACTCTACATGCCGCACCCCTCCCCAATAACCATTAGTGGATGACGTCACTCCACATGGGGCAAACCCCCCCTCATTAATAATCATGGGCTGAACAATCTTTCTATTGAATATTTCAGATTTACTGCAATATACACCCGTCCTTGGACGGGCAAAAAAGCTAGTTTTCAATGTTTTCAATATTTCATTTATAACACTAAATCCTGCACAATACATGAACGATAAATATATTCAGGTATTACTGCACTGCACATTTGCCTAATTTTCGTACCCAAATAAGACATGCCTTTTTGAATTTACCAATCTTCACAATTCCAAGGCAAATTAAGCCAATACCTGTTTCACACACACCTGATGATTTGTAAACACAACCTGCGCCATGGTGGGTTGAGGACTGAAGTTTAAGCTCCTATCTAAATCCATCCCTTGATGGATTTTTTTGACATGCAGTAAACACCATTCTTATTTTTATGCTATGCATCTGTGCTTGCAAACATATGGTACATCCAAAATTGTTCAATACTGAATTGAGGAACAAACGAGCCTGTGCCGCACTTACCCACTCCCTGCTGCTTGTTGCCCCAATTAAGCGAGAGCTTCCCACCTTCACTGACTGTGAAGGTAGAGGTGCACCCGTCTGTGCCTACAGTCTGAGCCTGTGAGGCCACCAGGCCCTGGGATTCCAGCCACGTCCAAGTCTCCTGTGCCGATGACACCACTGCAGGAAGGTAGGAGTGGTAGAGAGGTGTTGGGGAAAAGGGGAGGAGCAGGCAGTGGAATGCATGTTTATGATAAACAATAGCGATTATAGCACCCACTTCATTGGCTAGGTGATGTAATGTGAGTATTTAACCACCTCACAGTCCCAGGCTAACTGACAAAAGATGAAAATTGATTGACAATGAAGACTGATCATTGTAGCAACACAAGTATATTATTTTATGTTATATCAATAATATTATCATTTTGCTATTCAATATTTGGGTGTTGAACTACACTGGGCTCAGCTGTGATCATGTGTTTTTTTACGTCATTTATTTACAAATAAAAGCTTCATTCAAGTTTAATGAAACTGAAGAGGTTGCTGCATTAAATTGTTTACCAATTCCTTTGCAATAACAATACTTCCACTTGTAATGCACACTATTCACTCACTTTCAAGACAGAACAACTCGAAGGGACGAGGAACTGCACACAGGCACGAAGGCAGCCTAGTGGGCAGCCAGCACCAACAATTGCCCAAGCTCTGCGGTTCTCCATATATTTAGGTGTTATCATTCTAGATTTGAAGTTTTCGTGACTGCAAGGATCTTTTGGTAAAGTCACGTAGGTAAAGAAAATAATAAATACAAATAAAATAAAAATATTTGATTTTAATTTAAGAAAAGTATAAATAAAAATAAAATATATATTGTTTAAATTTTATTTATTCATTGTTTTATTTACCTACGTAAAGAAGAACCAAGAGTTAGGTGTTACCAAGAGTTAGGTAAGAAGAACCAAGAGTTAGGTGTTACCAAGAGTTAGGTGTTATCAGTCAATTAATAAGTATTTAGATGTGGGATGAAACCAGAGCATGCAGAGAAAACCCACGTGTGTTGGGGGGGGGGGGGCAACACAATCCAATACAGACTGAACAGGCGTGGTGGACATTGCTGCACTACTTTTTAATGGCAAGCCCGGGTATAGCACTGATACCCACGGCATGGGTGTTTCACAACATGTATGTGATCCACTAACCCTTTCCTCCACAGTTTTAGATCACAGACATGCACTTCCACTGCCCGTACAATGGTGAGAGTGGAAACTAGAAGTGAAAACACCCAAAGTTCTGCACAGACAGGTTAGGAACTATCTTCTCCTGGCCACCTCACAAGCGAGCAGGTTTTAGTCACAACTTCAAATGATCCACCAACTATTGCCTAGAAATTTCTGCGCTACAAGCATGTGCCACCTCATCAATGTCATGTATGCACACTCTACAGCATATATATAGTTTTTCGTTGAAAAGTTCGGTTTAAAACAAGGGTAATGCCTTAAAATGGGCTTTGCAGGCATATGCTTTTGCATTCTGTCTCTGTAATGCTAACCCTACTTCAGCTTTCTTCAACTACTATGACATACACAAACCAATTAGCTTTGGTCAATAGGAAATTCAAAAACAACCAAGCAACCGGTTCTTGAAGGAGCATGTTTATGCAGGTACTTAGATAAAGCAACCCCATTAATAAAAATACGCAAATGTCAAGTGGATTTCTTTTGAACAAAGAAAACACCACTTTCAAAGAACACCCACATGACCTATGCAACCAACCTATCTGAATCATAGGTTGCTGCATTAGTAACAAAAGTGAAAATACTGTAATTGTATTTCTTAAACCCCATTTGTTTTGTGGCAAATGGGCTGAGAAAGACCTGCATAATGCATGCTGCGGAAGTCACAATGACGCACAATTTTGCGCAAAACATCTTTTAGTTTTCTGGTAAGTAGCTAAGTGCTCAAACTACAGCACCACCACACCCCATAAAAAATAATGCAGCCACTTCAGTACAAACTAAATGCGTTAACAGTAAGAAAGTCGTACATAGCCCACACACACATGATGACATGACTAACTGTGTGGATTATATTTATTTAAAAAAATTCACAATTTTTTTATTCTGATGCTGACATGTACACTACAAATAATGACAATATTTGATGCATAAGGTGCTTAATAACTACAGGGTAAATAAAGAGTGAGGAGCACAATTTCAATATATGTGGGACACGCAGGTGTTGGCATGCTGTACCAGTTGTGTTGGGAGAACTTGTAAGCGGTGCGGAGGCCTCAGCTAGAGCTGCCAGTGTGGCCAGCACCGATGTAGATGAGCTGCTGAACTGTACACTCTGGGATGCGCTTTCAGCTGAACCATGCATAGAAGCACACAACATTAAAACAATCCATTATCTAGTCCCAACAACAGCATTTGTTTTCATGTGATCATTTTATTTATGTTTTTGCAATTAGCCAGGGTCAAATGACTGATCAAGTGCCTGAAGGCCTGTGGAGTTGCAATGATCCATACGCATGCAAAATTAATATGAAGTGTATGTATGTTGAACCATGCTAATTGGAGATGCGAGAATCGGTGTTCTAGATAGGTCAAGAAATGTGCGGCTCTTTATCATGCCCAAATAAAATTATTTCATTCATCATCAATTGTCTTTCCACTGCTAAATAAAGGCTTCCCCAAAGTTTCACTATCCCTCAATGCAAGAAACCCATTGCACTCCTCCCCAAGATCTGATCTAATCTCTGCAGCGGTTGTCTTTTCAGGCACATTTCATCCTTTGGATGAAATTTCATCACCAGTCTTTGCCCATCACACCTCCCTCTGACATGAGAACTATGTTAAAGACATTGATGGATGGAGAAACAGATTCAGCAAGAATGGCAATTATGCTGAAATGTAACCCAGATACATCTTCACAACCCTACCAGCCACCTAGTGCCGACATAACCAACCTTATCCATTGTCCATTGCACAGTTAAGCGAGTGATGAGCTACTAAAATACTTACTGGCTGCTTTGGTGTTGGATGCAGACACAAGGCCTGCTATGTTCATCATCCCGCTGGGGCTGAAGATGATTTGTGGGGATGACACGGGAATGCCCATGCTGCCAGCACGCTCTAGTGGATTTGTATTCACTTGGTTGGCCATGGCCTCCTGCACAGAGAACACTAGTTACTTTGCAGCAGTTGATTTTGACAAGTTTTTTGCAATAATTAAAAGGCGGCAAAGAGAACTGAACTGTTGCCTTCTGGAAAATTCACCACCCAACATATTCCAGCCACGTGTAACACAAAAAAATTGACATTTAGTTACATGGCTGAAATTGCCCGGTCACCACACCAGGCTCTGAGTAGCCCAGCCCCCCCCCCCCCCCCACACAAATCATATTTAATTTGAGCGAGGAACCGTATTGCCCAGCTCTGTTTAGCAAGAAATTCACTACAACAGGCAAATATATGTATATATCTGATGAAGACATTTTTATTTCGAGACGAACAACATTCAACAAACATTTAAACTGCAAAAACCTGAAATTCGTATGTACTTTGGTAGATGAAAGCGCCTGACCTGCAGGATGGATAGAAGGTTGGCGTGCCCCCGGTCAGCGGCGATGTCAAGTGCTGTCTTGTCAAATTTGCTCAGTGTGTGCGTGTCAGCAGCTCCGCGCACTAGCGCCTCCACGACGGCACGATGGCCATGCTCCGCAGCCCAGTGAAGCGCCGTCATCTTCAGCATGTCCTTCGCATTCACCTCCGCCCCATTCTGGAAAGCAAGGATGGGTGTTGGGCTGGGTAGTCAGGTAGCGGTCATGGCTTTTGTGTTTTGAGAATAAAAGGGGCAGCAATGCCAAATTGCATTTGCTGTATGCCAAATTAAAATAGAATGAAGATGTTGTAATTGTGGTTTAACACTTAAAAAGGTCTGTTGAGGCTGATTGTTGCTGACAAAGGTGATAGTGTTGACTTTGCATAGGGTGAGTCAAGGCAATGTAAAAGTAATTGGAAATTAAAGTGCTCAAAAAGAAAAAGCTACAGGAAATTGTTTTGCTCTTCGAGTATAATGGACTTTTTTTGTATTGGTGTGTGTTTCCTTACTACGAAAAGCTGCACACCCATATACTATTCTATCCCAACATTGTATTTTCAGATTCATAAATCACAAGGTGGCTAATCAGACTTAAATTGTAAAGGAATATTATAATTTTATAAAAAAAATAGTAATTTCAATGTCATTTTCTGTGCCGATGAAGAAGAGATAAATGTGTCATTAACAGAGGTGATCATTTATGGTTTTGACCATTACTCGGGATAACTTTAGAAGCACCTTGATGAGCAGCTCAACGATGTTAACGTGGCCCTCCGAGGCGGCCATGTGCAGTGGCGTCTTGTCCACCTTGGTGCGGGCATCACGGCTCACACCGGCACGCAGCAGCACCTCCGCCGTTGTGTAGTGTCCATACTGTGCCGCCAGGTGCAATGGCGATGTTCCCAACTGAAAAAAAATGAATTTGACATGATGAATTTCTCTGCTTGCTTTATGGATTACGGTATACTTCAACAGCTAGGAGAAAACCAAAATAGTTTATTTAAAACTGACGACACCAGAAAGATTGTTAGATTCTATGATTATAGTAATAATGATTGAGTTGGGGATATATATCTCAGGTGAATATTCAAAAAATCCACTCTGTAATTCAAATGTTATGTGGATTGGTAAACATTCTTTTTTATTCATTTTCCAACTTAACCATGTTGTTGCATGATCAGTTTTGTGTATGTGCCTTTATGACACAAATGAAAAATTATATCAACAATGATGATGAATAAAACCACAAATCCTGAGAGATGAAACTATAAATCTATTTTACGAATAAAAGTGATGCAGAGATGCGACACCAACCCAGTCAGTAGTGAATGGCGCGCCATTTGTCATGAGGGAACGGACTTCATCATCCTCCCCATTCCGTGCCGCCATGAGCAGGCGCTTGCCCAAGTCCACCAGCGACATCTGCGTTCAATCAGCATAATACAGGTCACCAATCAGCAAACGTTTATAAGTCACTACACACTCCATTATTGTTGCACAAATGACAGGATTTTATGAAAAGCTGAAAAAATTGTACCACGAAACCGGCCATAACACTGAGATGTTGGAAAGTGGGCTGGTCTGAAAAAAAAATCTTAAATCATTTTAACACACTTCTGTCCCATCCACTCAAGTTTCATGAATTTAATATCAGTAGAGAATACAACAGTAAAAATTGTGTAACATTTTTTATTATTACCATACATTAGTTGACTTACATTTATGTATGCGTGATACAAAATAAGAATCCAGGTTTCAAAATACAATACAATCCCAATATAATATAGTTCATTACACCGTCGGTCAAGTTCCCCGAATTTATTTTGTTACTTTATGTACGCAAGGAAACGTGGCAAATCGTACAAGTGTGTGCACCTGCATACACACGCGTGCTTTGGAAAGATGGTTCCATCAAGCACTCGCGTTCAATCCACGCACAATACTTACAAGGGATTGGCCGAATATCTCAATTTAGACTTTCCGGAAAACTCAACTCTTACTACATGTTAAATGTTTGAAAGGACAGCAGCAATCACATGAGTAATGATAATCGAAGCGGTGTTGTATTTTACGCCTGCAGAGGGCAGCAGAGCCGGGATTTCATTTGTAAATGAATACTATACCGATTAAATACTGTACAACATATCTAATGTCATTTTTTCAACTACAGGTATGTAAATTATAAGTTGGTGACAAGGACGGGCTATTGGCACTTTAAATGGCTCTACACCATAAAGATACTTGTGCAATTCAGCAACTTTCTAGAGTTATCAATTATAACACGAGTAGCCGATAACGTGGATGTTATTCAGCGCCGCATTATATCAGGCTTTACTGTAATAGTGTTAATATTTGTTGCTAAAAAGAGGCATTATTCAGCAGTGGCAAGTAAACATCAAATGTTATGCTGACCCCAAACCTGGACTGAAACACATCAGTGTCTATAGTAAGAAATTACCCACATCTGCTTATTAAAACCAGCAGATAATGAAACGAAAATCCTATTTGCTTGGGCAGGGATTTCTACGAGATAAACTGTATGCTGTGTAACTACAGGAAGGCATTTATATTTTGTCTGGCCTGGGAGCACCCTGAATGATTACTGACAGTTATATCCTCTGGGTGACCACCAGGCCATGAGGTCTGGAAGGCTACCGCAACTATCTCACAAACCTCAACACAGCCAGTGCAGAGAAATAAATGTAGTGCCCTCCTGGCATTATATAGGTGGATGTTGGGTGGCCATCCAGAAAAGAATGCACAGACTGATGGTCAACCACCTACCAGTAATGAAATGCGTGTTGTAACGGCCCATTAAATGCATATTTATAGTAACGGCCCATTAAAATGCATATTTATAGTAACGGCCCATTAAAATGCATATTTATTAAAGAATAACATCTTATATAATGCATACATTCAATGTTTGGACATTCACACTGCAACATAAATATAACACGTGGCTTGAGTAATCTTGACTTAAAGCTTGCAGGTTACTGAAAGACCCAAAGAATATAAAGTTTTTTTTGTAAAAGTGCAATCTACAATTCCTTCATTGGAAACATTGTCATTTGTTAAAATAAACATGACCTCTTGTGAAAATTCAAAAGAAGGCACCCACTTGTGAGAGATAAGTGGTAAAATGTAAAAAATTTAAAGGAAAACCAACAAATTTGGTACATGAAAGGTGAAGGCCAGCTCCAAATAGTGATTACACCACTACAGAGGGTCTCATATTCACGGACGATTCTCACACTTATGATACTTTCAAGTTTAGCATATGCAGAAGCGCACCATCTCATCATAAGCAATTTACCAATAAATTCCGTGTTGATTAGAAACTTGGCCAAGCTCTAACCTAACATGGCTAGGAATTTAATTGGATACATTTGGATTCAATGCAGCTTTCCAGGCCCAACATGATTAAAATGTAATAAACAAATCAAGCAGATTTTTTTACGGCTGCAATTACCTATGTGGCTGTTGAGAACTTGTTAAATAACGCAATTTATTTTACAATCTGGGCAAATGTGTATATGATTTAAATCAACTGTAAAAAGCACTCCACCTGTTGATTCATTCAATTAAAACAATGTCCACTAATGAAATAAACCATATTTCTTACTGGTGCCAGTCTAGTCAATGCAGCTGTCTCTTTGTGCCAAAGTAACAATTACATCTTACAAAGAACTGATTTCATTTATATTATAACATGCGGTGGTGCAGTTGTGCATTGGGTAATACACTGCACTGTGAGATGAGCTACTCGAGTTCGTTTCCAACCATGGCTAAAATCCATGGCAAATAAGATTTCAACTGGTCATAGGACCATTCCCGGGACCCCCAACATAAGCTGTACTGATTAGCATGGCGAACTGTAGAAACACCCCCACAATGCATACCTGTCAACCCCGTATCAGTGGCTACCTTATTTCAGACAAATTCAGACTCTATTGGCCAACCCGTGCCCTTATAAATCTCAACGTTCACCCTACAAAGTACCATCACAAGGGAAAAACACAAAGACAAAATTTGCGTTGTTGCCCGTATTGAAACGGCTGTAGCCGTATGGACCTGAAAACTCAATTTCCCACGGGTAAACCGTATGGGTTGACAGGTATGACAATGGACGCAGAATGACGAATTCTTCCAGGAATTGATTGGCAAAGGCCTGTGAATTCTACATGTACTATACAGTATAAGCAAAGTTATCAGGCAATTTTTTTTTTTACAAATTTCATTAAAAACACCACTAAAGTAAAAAAGATACTGCCATAACCCTGGTTTGTTTTAACTTTCAAAAAAATTGCTAACAAGGATAATAGCTAAATGTTTAAACGATGTCGGTAATGCTTCTTTACTGTACATTTTTTTTACTCAACCAGCATTCCACATCGCCACATTTTTTGTGTCTGGAACCCAAGGCTCTAAAAAATAAGAGAAAAAAGCCAACGGCAAAGACTGGAATGTGTCCAAGTGAAATCAAGCACACAGCCCTTACAGCATTTTTCTCAATGTTCCATAAGAACATTTATTTTCGTTGGCCATGTCTTGTAAGGGGCCATCCATTTAGTACGTACGCATGGAGGGGGGAGGTGAACCCAAATGCGTACGCTTGCGTATGGGAAGGTCTACTGACAGTGTACGTACACATAGCAAACGGGGGGGGGGGGGGGTGTGAAGCATCGATAATATGAATGCAGCCGGCGGTGGACCATCTGTTTGCTTAAACACGTTAATATTATTGATCATTAATCGTTTCTGCGTGGATTAAATATCGGCCGTTCTATAGGATTCGGGGGGGGGGGGGTGTAAAAAGTCCGCGTGCGTACAGGGAGGGGGGGGGGGTCAAGTTGACAGATGTTTGTGTACGTACTAAATGGATGTCCCCTAATGCAAATGTGAGTGGCCCTGACGTTACAAGAACAAAGTTCCTATTCTCATTATCGCTCATTTGTCTAACCTCCCACCCTTTTGTACCACTATAAAATGTTATTAAAACACCATTGTCTTCGCTGCCGAACTAGGTTAAAGTGTTGGCTGTCTTCATTTATGCTTGAAAAATCAAAGGCAACAGTTTATATTAAATCCCCTAACACCACACAATTTTAATGAAATACGTTGATAAAAAAAAGATGTTAATTACACGTAAAACAATGCATTGATTACAGCATGCGGTGAGTCTTGCCTGATATTTTTTTCTCATTCGTCAAAGAGGTCGAAAAATTGTTACATATTATAACTTCAGAACCAAATCTAATCTGACAGTTAATTTGTGTAGCCATTGATGACAGGGCTGACACTGACGAGTCGCTAAAACTTAAGAACCCAACTGAATCAGGGTTGGGCAGCTGAAACCTGCATTGGAACAGGGGTGGAATTTGCTCAGCGTGATGAACTCTTCAGCCACCACCACCTCGTGTGAAATTCGATCTAACTTACTCTTTGGTTCTTTCGGTAAAATCACGTAGGTATAAAATAAATAAAATCACGACGTTTCAGGCGCAACACAAGCATCCGTCATCAGGTGGGACAACCACAGCAAGAAACAATTGCTGAAGTGGGCACTTAAGTAAACTTGAGCAATTGTTTCTTGCTGTGGTTGTCCCACCTGATGACGGACGCTTGTGTTGCGCCCGAAACGTCGTGACTTAATTTATTTTATACCAACGTGACTTTACCGAAAGAACCAGAGTATGGATCCCTGCAGTCACGAAAACTTCAAATCTCTATCTAACTTGCCGATTGGTCACGTGTCGAGTGAAGGGCTCCCACCCCTCCCTCCGCCCCCACCCCTCCCACCCCAACCCCTCCCACCGCCCCCCCAACCCCTCCCCCTTCCCCCCCACCGCCCCCACCCACCCCTCCCACCGCCCCGCAGTCACGAAAACTTCAAATCTCGATCGAACTTGCCGATTGGTCACGTGTCGAGTGAAGGGCTCCCACCCCTCCCAATGCCCCCCACCCCTCCCTCCGCCCCCCCCAACCCCTACCACCGCCCCCCCAACCCCTCCCACTTCCCCCCCACCGCCCCCCCACAGTCACGAAAACTTCAAATCTCAATCTAATTTGCCGATTGGTCACGTGTCGAGTGAAGGGACCCCACCCCTCCCAATGCCACCCACCCCTCCCTCCGCCCCCCAACCCCTCCAACCGCCCCCACCCCTCCCACCGCCCCCCCAACCCCTCCCACCGCCCCCCCAACCCCTCCCACTTCCCCCCCACCGCCCCCCCAAACCCTCCCACTTCCCCCCCACCGTCACGAAAACTTCAAATCTCGATCGAACTTGCCGATTGGTCACGTGTCGAGTGAAGCCCCCCCCCAACCCCTCCCACCGCCCCCCACCGCCCCCCCACCCCTCCCACCGCCCCCCCCCACCCCTCCCACCGCCCCCCCCCACCCCTCCCACCGCCCCCCCCCACCCCTCCCACCGCCCCCCCCCCACCCCTCCCACCGCCCCCCCCCACCCCTCCCACCGCCCCCCCCCACCCCTCCCACCTACCCCCCCACCCCTCCCACCGCCCCCCCACCCCTCCCACCCAGCCGAGAATCTGGCCTGCGTCACGTGAAGCCTCGGTGTTTCCTTAATGGAGGCCTGACTCCTCTGCCCGCCAGCTCCACCAGCACAGACCGAGGCTCGACCCACCCGCTAGGCCTTGCCTACCCACACACCCCCCTCCCCGCCCATATCTTTCTGTGAATAATCGCCAATGTCGTGTATTTTGTCCCCCAACTTAATTGTAACAGTAATAGAGATAATTAAATATTGAAATAAACACATTATGCTTTATACAATTGGTGACGACGCTTCGTAGGGACACCGACGCCTGTCAGCAGGCCTTTAATTTACTTAACTGGAACCAGTTGACATCTTTACACACACACGAAAATATAAGCTTCTTTTTACTAAATCAACTTAAGTAAACTATCTCCATGTAGTGGGTTTATACATTGCAACATTTTGAAAATGAGTAAAGTGAATTTCCAATATAAGATGACTTAATTTTGAAAAGGCCCTATACTGGTGTGGGCACATCTGCACGTGGTTCATAGAACTTGTGAAATCTTCACGGGGGGGAAATCTTAAATAACTTGAGTGGTGACATGCTCGTGATGTAAATCCACTGCTGGATGAATCCACCCTCCCCTACTTGAAGACCACAAAGCTTCCGTCTTAAGACGTTTTCATATTTACATGATGGGTAAATACAAAAATAATAGTACGCGCGAGTTGGGAGTCCAACAATAATCGAAGCAGCAGTGGCTGCCGGTGTGGATCGGCGGCCCCTCATCTCTCCCCGGCTCTCTCTCTCATCGTGTGCATCTCTAATTATGCATCTCTACCCCCGCCTCCTCCTCTGCCACCACCATCCCCCACCCTACGCGAATGTTGTCCGCTCTCTCGCTCGCGCTCTCCCCTTGATGAGCCTTTGTGCCTTTTCCGGGGGAAGTCGACAGATTTCTCGCCCCGCAGTTTAAGAAGAAGAAAAAAGCGGGCGACTTCCACATCCGGTGAGAGAGCGAGCGACCATGACCTGGAATAACTTCGCCTCCTCCTCGACGACGACAACAGCCGCGAGCGAGAGGATTCCCCCAGCCCCAGCATCGGCTCTTTCATTCCCGCTAACTCCTCGAGACGACGAAGTCTTACCCCCCTTACGACCACCCCTCCGCCGCCGGCTTCGTCTCGATACTTTCCCGCCTTCGCCTCGCACCCATCGCCCTCTCTCCTCCGGCGGGGTTCGTTTTCCCGCCAGCATCGATTTTTATTTACCCTTACCTTCGCGAAGCGGTGGTGGCCACTGTGAAGAAGACGACGACGCCTTGTGTTTCTCCCCTCCCCCCCAAATGTATTATTTATGTAGAATCCCCCCCCCCACGCTGTTAAGTTTTGTTATAAATGTCCACAAAAAAATCCCTTGACGGCTTTTGTTGTCTTGCGTTCGACGCGTTATAATCCGTTCGCGTCTACGCCTTGACAATCCAACCCCGCTTCTCGTTTTACCGAAGTAAAACCGCAGTCGTTTTCGACATATACGCGTTAATGTTTTCCCCTTTTTTAATGTTTAAAGACGAATAAGAATAAAAAATCGAGAGACTTCGTCCGGAAGAGATTCCACCGGAAGCACATGGCGGCTGTGCGCGGCGTGGACGCGGCCGCCTTTATAATGCGTAGCGCGCATAAGAGCGGCGCCCAATCGCCTTACAGCGCGGTGCCTATGCGCGCTATGGAATCTAAAGGCAGTGCTCCCTTTGCAACAATGTTTTTTTTTGACCACGGTTACTGAGCACAGGGCCCAAAATTCCATGGTGGCCAGCAGCAAACAAACTATATTAATCTTATTGGTTCTTTCGGTAAAGTCACGTCGAATGAAAATAATAAAACAATAAAAATAAAATAATTCTCACGACGTTTCGGCCACAACGCAAGCAGCCGTCCTCAGGTGAAGAACAGGTCTGTCAGAAAGACAGCGTCTGACATACCTGTTCTTCACCTGAGGACGGCTGCTTGCGTTGAGAATTATTTTATTGTTTTATTTTTATTGTTTCATTATTTCCATTCTACGTGACTTTACCGAAAGAACCAAGAAGATCAATCCCTGCAGTCACGAAAGCTTTAAATCGAAATTTAAACTATATTAAAACTATTTTTTATTACCAGGTAAGACCCACTGAGCTGTTTTTCAGAAGCAACCTGGCAACAAGTGATAGCCCAATTTAAGTGGCTTTTGTGGAAATGTCTAATAACCTAATTTTCTCAAGGCATGTTTCTAAATGTGGAGGGGGAAAACCGGAGGACCCGGAGAAAAAGTCCACGCAGCCTCGGGGAGAACATGAAAACTCCAAACATCACTAAAGATAGTGGTTAACTATGTTGAATGCATTTACAAAGGTTGTAAGAATTTGGAGATAATCATGGGAGGAAATTCTCAAAAACGTCAAGCGGACAGAAAAAAAACCCACCAAAACTGTAATAAAGGGAATTCCAAAGTAGAACAGTGCGAGGGAAGAAACAGCGTGATCTGCGGTAGAGGACTTGATATGCAGTATGGATGAGACAAAAGTCAGTGGTTGTCCCTAGTCCTCAATATTGCAAGGTCAATGAATAAAGGTTATGAAAACAGTAGCTATGATAGAAGCAATAGAAGCGTGATAAGGAAGCGGCTGACTGCTGGTAACCGAGTGACAGGAGTGTATCATTGAGTTCATCAACCTCACTGCTTTACATTTAATTGTATCCAAGTACATTGAAGTTTGAACTGGGTGCTTCATCCGGTAGAATTCCAACCTTGGTCGAATATTTGCAGAACTTTGTTCTGTATAGATACAACTGCAAAAAAAAACGTATTAACATCAGCTTGTTGGTTTTCCTCACCGCTATTAATAAGTTGCAATATGAAGCAAGAAAACTCTTCATTTGTTTAGATCATCTGGGTCTCATCAGCAGGCTTGGTAAAGAAATGCCATTGCATTACCATAACATCTTGCCTAGATCTTGCCCAGATGTTATGGGCAAGAGCACTTAATTTAAATAATTATAGGAACGTTCAAAAAGCAATACCATACAATATAGACGGAACTATAAAATATTTGTATTTTGGCAACACAATTATATCTGAAGGAGGGTCATTGCCTGACATGTTGCCGATTACATATACATTTCCTTTTCGGGCCGTGTTATTGAATTTGTTGATGTTTTATTTTGTGCTTGTGCATCTGCCAACGCATCAATAATGTGATCGGCAATCTAAAGCGAGCGCTGCACTCACTGCAAGAACAGCAAGAAGCCGCCAGCTGCGATGTAACAGTGGGATATCCACCCTTGCTTGTGTCTCCCTGCACATCTGTAGTTGAGAGTCGCTCGGTTCTTCTGCCTCTGCAAGTTTTATTTGCTGGGAGGGATTGTGCAACTCTAAGCGCAATATAGTATTCATATTAAAACGTCTTCAACCCTGCAGTTGTCCTAATAAGGGGAGATCAAACCGAGTAACTCATATGTATATGTTGTAGCACAATCTTCATCTTAAGAGCTTTCTGTAAAATCATAAACGCATTGCTTAGATTGAGTTAATCGAGATCTTCCACTGTGTTGGCTCCTTACTTAGCATCTACTTAACTGAACTCTTCTATTAAGAGCATCACTTTACACAAAGTATGCTGCTGTTGGATCAGCAATGCTGATAACTTGATCACATCCAAATGAGTTGCTTGATATTTCAAACCCCGCATTTGCATGTGTATACAAAGTCTCAAAACAAAGTTCCAAATGAACCTGGCAAATCAATGTTCGAGGCTCTTCTATTAAGAGCATAACTTTACACAAAGTATGCTGCTGTTGGATCAGCAATGCGAAAACTTGACCACATCCAAATGAGTTGCTTGATATTTCAAACCCCGCATTTGGATCTGTATACAAAGTCTCAAAACAAAGATCCAAATGAACCTGCCAAATCAATGTTCGAGGCTGGGATGTACAGCAACCAAGGATACATACATAATCTGTTGATGCCTATAGGAGTGAGGTTACTCAGAGGAATTTCTCCAAGCTTTGCAGAAAGATTAGAAAAGGGAGTGGGGTCCATGGTTTTGAATTTTTTTTTTTTTGCACAGACGGTGGGCGCTTCGCAGTGGCATGAAGTGGCTTGTCGGGTCGTGCGCTGTGCGCCTGTGGACGCTGGTGCGGGGCGAGGTTTGGTGGACGAGGGGTGGACGATGGGATGAGCAGGCGGTTCCACTCCATATGATAAATCAGCTGTGAAAAATGTGTGCAGGACGCGACAACAATACGGCACGGTTCTTGAGAGTTTGTGTGCGCGCAATAGATTGTTGCAGCGAAAGTTACGTTTTGATGATTGCTCGGTTTAAACTGTCTTGCTGAAATCTATATATATAAAATCGCAAATCTGTCTGTCTATCTGTCTGTCTGTGTGTGTGTCTGTGTATCGGACCATACGCAGTTTCATTGGACGAAATGTCAGGGATTTGCGAGACACGATTGGTCCGGCGGTTGCTCCTGGCAACGGGTAGCGACGCATTCGCCGCGGGGTGGACGCCATTTTTAATTCCCGTTAAAAATAGACGCACGCATTAACACGCGACTCTGAGGTAAATTCATCACAGTTTCACGTCCTCTTCACTCCCCCCCCCCCCCACCACAATGTGTGCAATTACTATTATAGGGTCGGTAGATTATAAAATTATAGCGATTAGACAGTATTATTGTAGCGCGGGGGGGGGGGGGGGGGGGGACGGCACCCGTACCCAGCCTCAGCCGGGTGGGCAATTTAGGCGAGGCCGGAGGCTCTGCACGGTACTAGGCCTCGACACCCACCACGCGACTCTGAGGTAAATTCATCAAACTTTCACGTCCTCTTCACTCCCCTGCCACCCCAATGTGTGCAATTACTATTATAGGGTCGGTAGATAATAAAATTATAGCGATTACACAGTATTATTGTAGTGCGGGGGGGGGGGGGGGGTAACGGCCCCGGTACCCAGCCTCAGCCGGGTGGGCAATTTAGGCGAGGCTGGAGGCTCTGCACGCTACTAGGCCTCGACACCCCACCACACTATAGGCCGTACATACTACTGCACAGCGGCCGAGGAGATCGTGGCTGGGGGGGGCGGGCAGGGGTAGCAGCCCATCTGTGTATATATGTAAGGTTATTAAGAAATATATTTTTCACCCGGGCAACGCCGGGTACTTCTGCTAGTAATGATTTATACCTTCAGTTCAAGATGTTCATAAAGGCTAACTGGCCCAAAGCAAATATTTTATGACGTATTTTCTGGAATATTGAGATAATTTTGTACTGTTTCAATCTACAATACATAAAGTACATCTGCCTATGTCCAATTCACCGGAATACGTCTCATCTCAACAAGATTATCGTCTGCGTTGCCTCGTGTGTGCGTAGCAGAGGGCAGTGTAGCTAAATAAAGAATTGTACGGTACTTTTATGCGATCCCCCCTTCAACCTGCACTGACCAACGTGAATCAAGATCGCATTACCCCCGCGACTCATAAAACACGAGAAGGCCCTTATCCAGCAGTGGAGTGACACAAGGCATCAACATGTTAGTGAAACGGCATACAATCCTCTACAACCGTCGAATGTACAAAGACATTGTGGAGAAAGCATTCGGTTTATGCCCGTGCACTCCGTGTAATCATTAGTCTTGAAATGGTTAATTATAAATGTAGCAATTAATGATTTGGTAGCAAACAAAGCAAGTTTGGTAATTTAAATATATTGGTACACAGTTGTTTTGCTGGTGAATTCATCGTTTTATTTACTTAAATTACATTTAAACCAAGTGTGCCGAGGTGTTGAAAACAAACAATATTTTCATGGACCGTTCACGTAAAACATTCCTGCGGAGGGAACTGGTCGGGACGTTGGGTTGCTTGGTCAATGGCCAGGGTACAAGCCGGCGTGAGTAGGTTAAACGTTGAGTTTTATAAGGGCACCACGCGGTGACCAGCCCCTCCCCACCCAGCCCCACCCCTCCCACCCACCCAGCCCACCAAGCCCCACCCCTCCCACCAAGCCCCTCCCCACCCAGCCCCACCCCACCAAGCCCCTCCCCACCCAGCCCCTCCCCACCCCTCCTATTTTTGGATGCAAACGGACGGACACAATAATCCCCTGTCATTTCCAGCCACCAGTGTTCATGCATTTGACACTGGTTTGTAACTGCTCAAGAGTTTGCTTGCAATGAAACGATGCTAAGATGCACCCCTGGAAGACCGTGCAGCAAATGTGTGGTAATAAGGAAGGAGGCACAATGTTAACATTACATCACGCCTCATTTCGTATTTTAATGAACAAGGGTCACCTGTTAATGAGGTACCGTATTGTATTTGTTTAGTAGTTTTATCCCCATAAAACGTGCTCAATACACAGTGTTTTGAAATACAACCATGAATGACTCATTGTTACATTTAATTATTTAGTAACATGACAACCTCGGGGTATCTGTGTTGTAAAGCCCTAATAAATGTGTGAATATTGCATGAATTTTTATCGTGATTTGAAATCTTTATCCGTGCTTGGTAATTGTGTATCAATAATAAGCAAACTAAAGCCCCCTGCAAGCTAACCACGGCTGGGGTGCAGTGTCGGCGTGCTTGTGAGATGCATTTCTCGAGCTAGCTTGCAACGCCACACCGCCAAATTGGACAATTTATACTGGTAGGAACCTCCTGGTTCCACCAGCACACAGGGGATTATTGTGTCCGTCCGTCGTGAATCCAAAAATGGGAGGGGTCGGGCTGGGTGGAGAGGGTGGGGCTGGGTGGAAAGGGTGGGGCTGGGTGGGGAGGGTGGGGTGGGGCTGGGTGAAGAGGGAGGGGCTGGGTGGGGCTGGGTGGGGGTTGGGAGGGGTGAGGCTGGGTGGGGTGGGGCTGGGTGGGGAGGGGCTGGTCACCCCGTGGTGCCCTTATAAAACTCAATGTTTAACCTACTCACGTCGGCTTGTGCCCGCCCTCACAGTCGGCCATATTTGCGGAATACACCACGCCGCTGTTGACCCTGGCCATTGACCGAGCAACCCAACGTTCCTACCAGCTCCCTCCGCAGGAATGTGTTTTTGAAAAACGTATAATGCCGCGTAAAGGGCAAATACAAGAGTACATCCTAAATTTCTCGTCCAATACGATTCAATACCGTTGACAGGGCAGGTCTTAGAACGATCAGTGTTGTTTACGGTTTTAGAATATGAATGATTAACTCATCTGGCTTAGGCATTGTATTTCTGTGTAATATAAAAAAAAAATCTGTACTTTTATTTTCGCGTAGTAACACTTGAGTCCGAAACACATTCCCATGTTTACTTTACACCAGATGTTTTATATTCATTTGTTTTTACGTGGGTGAACTGGCCCTGCCACTTTCTTCGCCAACCCACATTGATCACCTCTAAGTATGTTCAAACCCCGATGATTGGACACGCCATGAAGTAGCAGAGACCTGTCTCGCAGTTGACTACCCTATACATTTTCATGTGCATGAAACATGCACGTAACTGTATGGGTCCTGTGTAACGCCTGAATCATCCGTATTAATGGCACTGTCCACAACCCTCACTATCCGACTTAAATAAATTGTCCACAACAATGCATAATTCATGTTTTACCAATGCAGTACTGTTTATGGCGAGCTATTGCCATTAAGTAGACAACCAGGGCTGCGAATACTACGCCTAATATTTAAACGAGCCAAGTGTTTGCCTGATGCTCGTGAAACGCTGATGGAAAACATTGCTCCAAAAAAGGCCAATTGTTCGCCTGACCTCGATGTTAGATTTGAAGCTTTCGTGACTGCAAGGATTCATATATTTATTTTTTTTCGGTAAAGGCACGTAAAATAAATAATAGAAATTAAATAATTAATTTTTCTATTATTTATTATGTATTTTATTTTTTACCTACGTGACTTTACCGAAAAAACCTACGAGTATGACCTCGATGTTGTTTGTTCGTCTATTAATCGCTGGTGAAACGAAATCCTTGCCCAGCAATCGGCACAGATGGACTCAGCATTAAGCCCACGGGCACGTGACGGCTGCGACTGTCGACCTTTGAACCTTCGTCAGTTTTCTGACGTCACCAGCAAACAAAAACAAAACCGGATACTGAAAATAAATACATACCTTGAGTTTTTACAATTTTATTTTAATATTCCTACGGGTCGTTAACAACAAAAACAATGCTAATCGTACACGACCTACAGTATTTTGCTGATTGCAAAAAAAAAACAATTCCCCGAGTTGACTTCCGGCGAGCGCTGATTGGTTCGATTCGAATCGTCGGCGTAACGGTCGCGGCATTTGAAACGTGGAGCGCGAAGACGAATTTGGTATCGGCGGCGGCGGTAACAACGACGGCTCTTCTACACAACACCCCGACCATGTCGCGTCCCCTGTGAGTGCGCCTTGCCAATCGGCACGACAATGAGCTCCTTTCGCCGCGATCGTAGTTGGACTAAAAGTGCTCCTTAGAGGGAACAATGCTGACGGCGGCGAAGGCCGCCGCGGGCGAATGTGTTGAGCGACTTGGCTCCAATCCGATGGCACGGGACTGCGATGATTTTTTTTCCCTTCTATATAGTTGTTTATTAGGCCGAATGTTTTATCGAAGGGGAAACAATATGCGTCTTCAAGCGATGCAATGAATTGTGGCTTTTGTTGTCGCAATACGAGAAACGTATAAAGAGGTATTGTTAACGTGTGTGAGGTGGTGATCAGTTGGTATGCGGCAATCCCGCCGTGGTTATGCTGCTGACTCGTGTCATTGTCATTATCAAACATAACTTGTCTCTTTGCTGTTACCAGCAAGTGGCATGATCAACCAGTGTATAGCTCACCGCTAACATCTATCTCATTTGTGTCAACAATCTCATTCATCAGACTAGAGCTTACGACCAAAGTGTCTTATTAATTATGTCCATTTTAAACTATTGTATGTGCTGTGAAATGGATGTTAAAAGATCTTTGTCCATGGGCATTCACAAGAGCGATTTTGTATTGGTGTTAAAAGTCCAAGTGTTACTAATACAGTATAGTATTTGGGAAATGTCCAACTGCTGTCTACATAACATTCGATAGATTACGTTAATTTATCATTAGCAAGAGTCCAAGAGTAAATTGTAACAAAGGTACCCGTGTGCTTCTGCATAAAAAATTAATAATTGAATCCCAGTCAGCTGTTGTATGGATGACGTTGAATTTCCTGTCTCCAAAATCCCCCAAAAGAGAAATGGTTTGCATAGCTTATAAGCATGACGTTCAAGACAGCTATATCAACAATGAAGGCAATATATTATAGAAATTGCGAAACATAAAAAATCATCAATGCAGTTATTTGAAAATGAATTGCGCAGGAGTATTTTGCAAGGAACACTTTGTTGTATTTTGACTTACAGCAGTGGCTTAAGTAATATACAGGGTGATATCTGTTGTCTTTAAACGTGTAAAGATACTATTATCATTATTTATAACTTTACAATACTTTGTTGTAGTTTTTATTCAACAAAACCTGAGCTGAAAAATAATACAAACCTGTTCTCTATAACACAAGTGGGAACTTTTTGTGGAATTCAAGTGTGAAATTATACGTAAAGGTTTCAGTAAAAATGCAGTTGCAGTTTATCCATTCCTTTGGAAAATTGCTAGAGAACAAAATTAGAGTATCAACCGCTTGTATAGAAACACAATGACACATGTATACGCATAATTCGAATGTAAGCGTGAACTCTTTACATAGAAGAGACTCCAGTTATTTTAAAAATATTATTTTGTTTTAATCCAGAGTATAATTTTTACATATATTATAATACAAGCTTAATAAAATGCATATCTAAAGATATGGAGTTGAGTAATTGCACCAAAGTAATATTATGTAGCTGAATACGCAACGTTTGTGTTAACTTTTTTTATTGCAGACGACCTAAAACGCCAAAGAGGCCAGGCATGAAAAAATCTTCAAACTCGAAGCCCAGAGATCCCGTTGGGGCAAGTACTATTTCATATGTTTACACACTGTAATAATGATCACAATACAGAATACTAACCGATTACCAAAATCACCAACGATAAAATCCCCAGGAACATGCCTGATCTTGTCAGATCTCAAGCGCTTAGCAGGGTTGGGCCTGGATCGGCGATTGGCAAGCATTAAACGTGTTAAAGACTGCAGGGCTATGTTGTGGGCATCGTAATGAAGTGCAGCCAATTCATTATTAAACTGTGCAATACCCCCACAGTGGTCCATCTATACCAACCTACACTGTACGGTGAAACAACCTTCATTACCTAATTGTGCGGGGAGGTCCTCATTCAGCAGTGGCTTGAAAAAACGGATGGATGTAACGGTCAGCATTGCCATAATTTGTATACATTGTAATTTTATGATATGTGACAACCAGCCTCATGGTCGCATATTACGCAGACATTATTATGGATGAATATAAAATTAATCTCTTGTCTGTCCTGCTGGCTTGATCAGGTGTACTGCCGAGTGCGACCTCTGGGCGAGGATGATAAGGAATGCTGTGTGGAGGTGATAAGTGATACCATGGTCCAGCTGCACCCACCGGAGGGGGCCCGGGCATTCCGCAACGGAGAGTACAAGGAGGTGGGATGGCTTTAATTATCATTACTTCACAAAATGTAAGCCGGATAGAGCTGTGCAGCAATTGGTACTTAATGTCATTTAACTTTGTTTTTAGACCCAGTACTCCTTCAAGAGGGTGTTTGGTGTGAATACAACACAGAAGGAGCTGTTCGATATTGTGGCGAAAACACTGGTGGATGATCTGGTTCAGGGGAAGAATGGTAAGTCTGTTGAAATGTTTTGCTTTTTAACTTTTATATGTAAAGATTTTTTTTTTATCTTGGGGGAGGGATATGGAAGTGCCATTGGCGAATGATGTCTCATCACGATACATATGTATGGACCTTTTGTGTTTCTCAGGTCTGCTGTTCACATATGGAGTTACTGGCAGTGGAAAGACATTCAATATGACCGGCGCTCCTGGACAACCAGGCTTGCTCCCACGCAGCTTGGACATGTTGTTCAACACCATTTCCAAGTTTCAGGCTAAACGATATGTGAGTAAAACACTCGTGCCAGTTTGTGTTCTTTAGCTTGTTTTCTTCGTGAAGAGTTTTTTTTTCTATAGCAAAATTTCCGGAAGTGTGCCAAACCAAAATCTAGAATTACATTTGAATACAGTTAGGTTATTAGTTTCACTATAATACACGTTCAAAATAATTTGCTGTACGTGTATAAGTTTGCGGTGAGCTGTTATTTTTCAGAAAAGTCCTCTTGAATAATTCGTTAGTATACACATGAGAATTGTCCCGATATTTGGTGTTTGTAAAGCGACCTATGTAAATATGATTTTAACGAAGATATGTAATGTATAACATCTATACTGTCTCAGCATGTCTGTAAAATAGAGCCTAACAGCTCATTGGGCCCTTCCTGCTGAAATTACTAAATTATCTGGTTGTTCGTACTTATTAGGTTTTATTGAACCAAGATGGTGAAATTATTTTAATATTTGCTATGTATCAAACATAAACGTGAAGTTATTTTAACATAATCTAACATTGTGAATTTTTCAAAGGATGCTTTGTAGTGTAACGATACGTATTTTATTTTATACCTACGTCACTTTACCGAAAAAACCAAAGAGTCACAATACGTAGTTAATGTATGTTGAACTTTTTTCGCACCGTACGTAACCAACTGTGCTAATTGGAGGTGCGAATATTACACTGAAAATCTTTATAAATAGCTAAATTGTTGATAATTGGTTTTTTACCCTTTTATCTGGCAACAAAACTGACACCTTTTTTACAAGGAGTCATATTTGCATAGACCACAATACCTGCAGTCATGACTGTCATGACTGCAGACTGTCATGACTGCAGGTATTGTGGTCTATGCAAATATGACTCCTTGTAAAAAAGGTGTCAGTTTTGTTGCCAGATAAAAGGGTAAAAAAACAATTATCATATTTTTTTCTTCTGGCAAATGAGGTTCCAATGGAGCTAAATTGTTGTCTAAGGCAGAGGTCCTAATTAAGGGCTGTTTTTTTCCCTTGTAGGTGTTCAAGCTGGATGACAAAAATAGCTTGGAAGTGCAGTCAGAGGTGGACGCTCTTCTTGAAAGGCAGAAACGAGATATCTTGCCTCCGGCCACTCCAAAATCGACCACGTCAAGGTGAGGCCTAACATCTGGCAGTAGATTTACTTGCAGTGAACATTGTTTTGTGTTATACAGTGAAATTCTTATCTAAAGCTATTTGGGAGACGCTTTTCACCGATATTACTGTGTATACAACGAATCTCTTATCCTCGAAGAGAGCCCCTGATAAACACGGGACAATATTAGTGATTTAATCTACTTAAAGGTGACTTGTGTTGTCTGCAAATTAGCCATGAGTAATAGAAGCAATCTGTCCATGGAAAATAGGGGTTTCTATGGATAGATTCTGGGCATAGATAACAGGAGTTGTGGATAAGATGAGCTCCACTGTATTCCAATTAAAATACAGTTGTGGAATTGTTTTAAATCAAGTTGTTTATTGCTGTTACATTGATGCGGGTGGCGTTGAGGTCTGTGCTGAGCTGGTGCTGTTTTTGAATTCGGGCAGCTGTCCATGATACAACCAGATTCCCAAGTGCAGCGAGTTAATGTCTCAACCCCATTCACCAATGAATGCACAATAAAAAACTAATTGAATTTGGTTCTACACTTAATTTGGATGAATTTATCTTTGAGAATTTAAAAATGTATTTCACCTTCGTGCGACGAACATTACTCTGGAGCAGGGTGGGTGGGAAAGTGCTCAACCGAGAACCTAGTGTGGATAAGAGATTACAGAAGCATTTCTGTTAACTCCTTCCATGGACTGTGCTGTTCTATGGGATGACGCACTTCTGTGACAGTTCCAAGAAGACTTATGATGTGATGCCAATAGCACAATCGGAATAAATTTTGGGAAAAATATAACATTTTGACCTTGTTAGTTTTAAAAGAAATGTGTAGTGGAATAGACACAAAATACAAAAAAAACCTAAGCTTGGAATTGTTTTGTCTTTCTTGAAGGTCAAAAGTGGACACAGAGTTTGCAGAAATCATCACAGTGGAGGAACACTGCAAGGCAGAGGGGGTGGACGAAGACAGCGCTTACAGCGTCCTTGTCTCGTATATTGAGATATACAACAACTATATTTTTGATCTTTTGGAAGATGTGGTTGTGGATCCCATCCGACCCAAGTAAGAACTTGGATATGTGTGGTGTATACTTAGGCTTAATCATTCCTTTTTCCTAATGAGTCAGTTTCTAGGGTTTTCTTGTATATTGACGTTTAAAAATATATATGTTATATAAATTTTCGAGCAAGAAAACTAACTAATTACTATTTAAAGCTTTCGTTATTGCAGGGATTCATATTCTTGGTCCTTTCGGTAAAGTCACGTAGAAGGGAAATAAGTCACGTAGAAGGGAATTTTTTTATTATTATTTATAATAAGAATTTCATTATGTATAAATTATTATAAATAATACAATTATTTCCCTTCGACGTGACTTTATCGAAAGAACTAAGAATATAACTAATTACTGTTTTATAATTTCTCTGACCTGCGTGGTAATAGTGTAATGCTTCCACTCCCGGGTGTTTCCTTGGACACAACTTTTGGGATCTTATGGCCGCTTGTTGCTTGGGGTGGGTCACGCTGGGCATTGCTTTTCACCTCTCTGTCACATGTCCCTCTGTTAGGTGGGCAACTTGTGCCACTCCCACAAGTGGGACGACGCGGAACCCAGAGTTCATGTATGTTCCGAGAGTTTGGTTGTTACTCAAATGCCAAGCGGCTGCTGTATGCACATTTGTCTTGCACAGCCTTTCTGTAGAGTAGTGCAATCTCCTTGGCATGCCAGATCCACATGCCTCCGCTGCCGTGTGGCTCTCTGCTGTTGGCCGTGCTGCACGCACACGAGATGTCATTTACTCCCGAATTGTGTGTTTTTTTAAAGCAAATATATTCATTGCCATCATGGTGCATGAACATTAAAATCCTGTATTGCTGCTTTTTACATTGATTGCTTGCCTGTTCCTTCTGCTATAGTCTGCAGTACTTAAGAGCTTTCTGAAAATATTTGATAATGAATGACAATTTTTTATGTAAAAAATGTACATCATCTATTCATTACCATTTTAAAAACTTCATCTAACCTATTAATTGCACTTGGTAATCTTTATTTTACGATTATACATTTCCGATGTGTAATGCAGAGTATGATATAGCCCTATAAGCTTGCACTCATGAACTGATTGCAATGATCTTCCCTTAGACCACCACAGTCAAAAATGTTGCGAGAGGACTCGAACCATAACATGTACGTGGTTGGCTGCACAGAGGTGGAGGTGAAGTCCACAGAAGAGGCATTTGAGATGTTTTGGAGAGGTACAGTTGGCACCTTTTGACTTCAACAATGGGATTCTTTTATTTGTTGACTATCCTACGATTTATTTCATTTTTGTTTTTTTTATCAAGAACAGGCAAGAGCAGACGCTATACTGCATTTTGCAATGCATCCTGTTATCTGTGCTGTAGGCGGTTCCAAGCACCAAGTGATTCCTAAGCTGCTGTAATTGCTACCATTTACCTGCCGATGTGACTGACACGTTTCTGTCCTCAGGTCAGAAGAGACGGCGGGTGGCAAACACGACGCTAAACCGTGAATCGAGTCGCTCCCACAGCGTGTTCATCGTCAAGCTCGTGCAGGCGCCACTTGACTCGGACGGCGAGACGGTACTCCAGGTAGCCTCCTCGCAACGGATCGTACCGACTCGCACAGATTGTACTCCTTTTACTTTATAAAGGAGGGGCGTGCATCCTACTGCATGGGTGTAGTTTTTACCGGCCCATTGGTACCATGGGCACACTGTACAATGCAGTGGGTCGTTTGCAACAAACAGGCTGCCACACCCACTTTTTCTGTTAAATGATATCCTGTTCCAAAATTTTCCTCTTGATGCTCGGCCCATGGAGATCGAGGAGATTCCCAATGTGGTCCGCATTTGAAAGGGTTTGCAATTAATTTATTTGAAGTAAGATTGGACCCAAAAATGTAAACTACTGGAAATATGTATCTAGGCTGTGTCCTAGGCTGTCTGACATGACTTTGATGCTTCATTTAGGAAAAATGACTTAAAATATCTGTAAGGAACTCTATCAATGTGCACTTTTTACGTATATATACACACACAAAATGGGAGCTGTTAATTTTTTGCCCTGTGTTTTTGATATCCCTGTAATGACAATAAAATATTATTGCACAGGACAGGGAGCAGATCACAGTGAGCCAGCTGGCCCTTGTGGACTTGGCTGGCAGTGAGCGCACAAACAGGACGAAGGCAGAAGGCAATCGTCTCCGGGAAGCTGGTAATTATTCTCACTCGCCCATTTTTATTTTTCAAGGAAACACCATTTAAAACAATATATTGTGCATTAACATTGCTGTATCTGTCACGAGAAAGTCAAGAGCAAGTAGGAAATAGTGATGTCACATCTGGCAAAAATAACTTCTCCATTGTTTTATTGAATATTCATTTCATATTTATATTATTTAGTAATAAATTAGTGTGGACACGAGCAGCCACATCGATTAAGATGCATATATACAACACAAAATGGCAATAGCTCTCAGAGCACCATCTAAGACATATTTTGGATATTTAAGGTTAAGTGTTGTTGGTCAATGTTGACAGTCATAAGGCACCTTCATGCGGTAAATATTAATTCTGAATCGCAGCCAGTATGAAGAGCGGCATAACCATTGTAAAGCACCAAGTGAAATAATGTAGATTATTCTTTAACACGTAGGCTTTCGCGACCAATGTTATTCATAATCAACGTTTTTGGGTTTAGATCGCGTTTATTTATAAATGTGTCGTAACCCTCCACCACCTGACACGGCCAATCAGTAAAAATGTGTCACGTTGACAAAGACAAATAGTTCACTGCTTTAGCCCACCGGTGTGTTGATTGTAAATGTTGTGGCTTCAACACACAGTATTATGAAAAGATTATTCTTGTTTGCTCATAAATTGCTTTTTTCCTCATTTATAGGAAACATCAATCAGTCTTTGATGACACTGAGGACGTGCATAGAAGTATTGCGAGAAAACCAGATGCTTGGAACAAACAAGGTATGGTAGCAAAATGTTATTCATGCTATTTCCTTTGTGATTTATTTTAATGTGTAGGGAGTTAAATGTCTTATATAGTACCGTGTTCAAATATAAATATATTTTAAAAACTAGTTATTTAATTATGAATGCATTATGCTTCCTTAACAGATGGTGCCATATCGAGACTCCAAGCTGACGCTCCTGTTCAAGAACTACTTTGATGGAGAAGGAAAAGTGCGGATGATTGTGTGCGTGAACCCCAAGGCAGAAGACCATGAAGAGACACTGGTAGGAGGCCAATCTCTATTTAGCTTATGTGTTATTACATGCAAGCAACATCAATATTTTAATTGTATGCCATATCTCCTATCCGAGTCTTTTTGCTACATTGACTTCCATTCATATATATCTTGAACTAGTGAGGCAACTGACTTCTTGTCTGATTGTAGGAATGGAGCCTTGTACTTTTGAGGGATGCCCGTGAAATTGGTGTGATAAGAGTATGGTGTGATAAGCATTAATAATGGCTTTGCAGCTGATGACAAATAAATGGTTTGTTTGTTATAATAATACTTATATATTATATCGTGTCAATCATGCTAATAGCATCCCATAACGCTGTACATTATTGCAGATCACCAGGCTATTAAGATTTCTGATAAGTGTTGATGCATTTAAAAAATTCCTGCAGCACGTGATGCGATTTGCGGAGATGACCCAGGAGGTTGAAGTGGCGCGGCCAGCCGACAAACCCATATTCGGACTCACACCGGGACGACGAAACCGCTACCATGAGCTACGCATGGAGCTGACTCGCAGGCTGGAGGAACGTGGAGGGCCTACTTTCTCCAGTTCAGGGGACTCAGGTGCATGGACACATCCTGATGCGGCTCTTAACAAAATAGAATTTAAGCAAATTGACAACACAGTAATAGCGCCCATTGGGCAATGAATATGGGTGCATAGCTCTACGATGTTTTCAAGTTGTACCGTGTGCTCTGCATGATGCCCAACTGTTGTGCTCCACGTTCTGGGAGTTTCAACAATTCAACACGTACAAAAGTTCCCATTACGTGGAGTAAGATGTTGAACGTGTGATATAACCTGAAAACACCATAGACCTGCACAGCACAATTGTGAAAACGTATGCAGTAAAACAGAGTGCATAGCTGGCAGTATAGTTTGCCATTTTTTGTTAATTTTGCATGAATTTGTAATCCTGTTATTGCCTGCATGATAACGATCACTTATTCACTATTTCTCCAACTGTAATATTGATGACCTTATTTTTGGTGATGTAGCAGAGATGCAAATTCTGTCGCTGCAAAACTTCCCGCCATTCCCGTCGTTGGAGCTGACGGACGCGAGTGACGAACAGACGCTTTCGGTGCTTGTCAGCCACCTGGAAATGTGTATTCGCCAGAGGCAGAACATGCGGGACGAGTTGGCCCGGGCTCGTAAGTGCCACCAACAGGCACACATGTATGCACGGCATCCACTATCAGATCTTAATGCACAGCACATTTCATTATGTCGGGTAAAAGTGATAGTTCAATTGTTGACCGTCAACAAATTTAGAAACATGCGTTTAGATTATTTGGCTGCTATACATTTCCACATGGTAATCCACTTCATTGAGCTATCATTAGTGGCCAGGTCACTCCTGAAAAAGAGCTATATAGCTCAGTAGGCTGTACTTGGTGAAATTAACATAGTTTAGTTTATTTAGCTATCTTATTGTTGTTGCTACCACTCTGCCACGTAATGGAATTGTTTGAAAGAATTATGGGTTTTTGCTTTCTCTGCTATTCCTCTGTTGGCGAATAGAGGGTATCTTGCGAGCAGGCCTGCAGGAGCTGGACAATAATGTGATGGGGCGTGAGAACTGGATCGAGACGCAGCAGGACAAGTTGGCAGAGAAGGACCGGCAGCTAGCAGCGCAGCGTGCAGAATTAGAGCGCATGGAGAAGAAGGCCAAGACGCTCGAGTACAAGGTATGTGTAGAACTCGCAATGACATTTCTGACGAGTTTTTTTTGTTGACTTTTGAATAGAGGTGGCGAACATACAGCTCTCAAGCCAAATTTCCCTGAGGACTTCATTTCACATAGCCCATGGCTAATTGAGGCCTCGCACTTGGACTTGCACATGATATGATAGATCTGTCACTGCAAGCATCAGAGCCACACTAATTGGCTACTAGAAGGGAATATTTTATAACTAGCAACACTATCAAATGTTATCATACTTAACCACCTCTGTCATTGTAACAGCCTCTTGTAGTCACAGAGGTGACTGATGCGTTTGATTCATTTGCAGCCTACAAATGGTATTTAAAAATCAAATTTTGCAATCTATAAGGAAAATGCTCCAAGCCCCACTTTAGACAATGCTTAAGTGTTCTGAATTTGTGAAATAATAAGCTAACTTACATTCTGCACAGTGTCGCCTCTCAAAAGTGTTTTCTATAATTGTGCCGTATGCACGTTTGCAGATCGACGTACTGCAGAAAACCAACAACATTCACGAGGATGACAAACGGCTTCTGCAGCAACAAGTGGAGGAGAAGCGCAATGAGCTACAAAGGCAGCTCGGTGACAAGCAGCGAATGGAGATGCGAATGCACGGTGTTGTCAGTGAGACGAAGAGCAAGTGGGAGCGTGAATGTGTGAGTGTTCCCCACATGTCTTATCAAATTCACTTTTTTATGTTGAGATAAGTGCTGTTTTTTCGATGAAAAGTAGTTTGGGAAATCAAAAGCAGGAGTTATCCATATCCAGCAACTATGTTTTATACCAAAAATATTTTCTAAAATATATCCTCCCAAAAAATATAACTTGCTCAGGACCAGGAGAAAATGTCTACATTTATATATGTAAAATTCAGTAAATTAGGAGAAATAAGCTGCAGATTATGAGTTCCATCCAATAACAATGGTAATCAGGAAGTGTACTATAACATTTCACAATTAGGTTGGTGCCTTTGGGCTGGTAAAAAAAAATGGTTCAATCTACGCAACTTAACACTTATTGGATCCCACTGTTGGCTTGGACACTGCCTCGAGGCACAGTGTTATATTTTTAGCAAAGTCGTTAACAACTAAATTTCGATTTAAAGCTTTCGTGACTGCAGGGATTCGTCTTGGTTCTTTCGGTAAAGTCACGTAGAAGGGAAATAATAAAATAATAAAAATAAAACATAATAAAATAATTCTCGCGACGTTTCGGCCACAACGCAAGCAGCCATCCTCAGGTGAAGACCAGGTCTGTTGGTGAGACAGCGTCTGAATGAAACACCACCACGCTTGGAGCGTCTTTTTAAGCTGGGTTGGAAGGGGGGAAGGGCGCCTTGACAAAATAATTTGCATATTACAAACTAGTTACGTAGTCGTATTACATTGCCATCTTTGCCACATGCTGGGCTAGGATCGACGCGTGGCAGCCAAGCAGATGGAGATGCAGAACAAGCTGTGGGTGAAGGACGAAAAGCTGAAGCAGCTAAAGGCCATCGTGACAGAGACAAAAGGGCCGGAGCGGACACCACGCGAGCGAGAGAGAGTGCCACCCCCGCGTAAAAAGCGTTCCGCCTCCCCTTCACCTGCACCGGTAATTACTTTTCTGAAGTTAACATTCGCACTGCACAACAGTTATGCATTCGATAGGAGTTGTACTGCAACACGAGGAAATGTTTGTGTAGAGGCTATGAGTTTTGGGTAGAGAAATCCGAGTTATAATATAAGCTGACAGGTTCACAGCTGATTCATGTGATTTTCACATTGTTTAACATGTGTTTACTGAGAGGATTGTGGGTCTTTTCATCGCTTTGCGTGCTTGTGGAATAGCCAACATCTGTCCACGTCTGCACGGGACCGCAGAGAGGGCCCGTGGCCTTGCCACGCAATGCCTTAACCAGCCGCCGTTCCAACTCCCACGACAACATTTCTGTTGCATCCTACGTGAACGAGTGGGAAGGGAGGCTGGGGCCTGGTGAGGCGTGGAAGGGTTTGCGAAAGCATCACCAAGGTAGGCAGGCAGGCAAGATGGCGGCCACTCCCACCCACATGGACAGGTGTTTGAGAAGGACCACAAGGAAAAATGAGGCTGCAGAAGAATGCTTATCAAGCAGTGAGGAACAAGAGAGGCAAGTGAGTGAGGATAGTGAAGGACAGCAGGCAAGCCAGATGCATCTCAATTACACAAGTGAGGAAATACAAAACTGAATTTCTTTGTAGCATATATATTGCTGTGTGCACTGATTTCATTAGCTCTGTATGTCCGCACTACTTTAGACGGCACCCCCAGTGCCACTGAGGCACAGGAGGTCACATTCGGCTGGGCCGGAACGCTGGATCGACCACAAGCCAGCGACGAGTGTGGATACGGGGACGGTGATGCAGCCATCGGTTACCAATTCCGTCACGGTGCTCATGCCGACAGAGCGTGCCCTTTCCAAGGCGGACAAGTACATGCTCACACATCAGGAACTCGCCTCGGATGGAGAAATTGAAACTCGTCTCATCAAGGTGAAGTGAATAAGGAAATCTTCATTGGTTAATCTTGAGTGCTTTTTTTATTATTTGTAGAAAGTGTTTGTTGCATTCTTCGTTTTGAATTTAGTTATAAAAACAGTATTGATTTTTGCATGGAAACGTTTGCTGAATGGGTCATGCTTTGGGTTAATCTGGTATAGATTCCTCAAATTATTTAAGAAAATAATTGGCCAAAGGACCTGAAAAAGGCATTCTAGACTCAGCGAGCATGTCTTTTACCTACTTTGTATTCTCATAACAGGAATGCATGTCTGAAACTGAATACGTTTTTTGTCTGCAGGGCCAAGTTTACAAGACACGAGGCGGTGGTCAGTCCGTACAGTTCACAGACATTGAGACCCTAACGCAGGAGTCGCCCTCATCCAGGTACTGTCCACTGTTTTTACAAGTTTTATTTTTGTGGATTTTTACATTGCCTGCATTTACATATATTCGTGAGAATGTTGGTATATTTTTTCTACGTTTTCTCATGATATGCAATGCTGCACCGATCTTGACCTCTGTAGGAAGCGCAAGTCAGATCAGCGTGCGCCTGTGCAGCGATCAGATACACCTGACTCTGAGTGGACCGACGTGGAGACAAGAGTGAGGACAAAAGTGTTGTTGTTTATCATTTTGAGTCTTGAAATAATAAGAAATCCAGAAAACAAATTGCTCTTATTTTGTAAACAAATAACTTGGCTGTCCCAGGATGTGTGACATGAGTTTGAAGCTTTGTTAGCAGAAATACATTTAGAGTTGCAATCAAGCATGTCATGATGACATACTCGTTATTTAAATGCATTTCTCTTTCTCTGCAGTGTGCAATTGCAGTCGAGATGAAAGCTGGCTCCACTGCTGGACCAGGCATCCAACACCATGCTCAGCCCAAGTATGTATCACGAGTTGCATTGCAAAGCGTTTTTTTTTTTGGATTTGTGCTTGAATGGGGGAAAAAATCTGACTGTAATATGTGACTTTTTCAACAGACGGACGAGGCCTTAAAAATACCAACGTCTGGACTTCGAATATACGATTTGGGATCCACGCACCTTTTTAATAATTGGAGCAACCAGTCGTGGCCTGGATTTTTTTTTATCAATAAACATTTAGGTTTGTCGGAAATTGCTTATGATAACTCTTTGTACGCATATGCAGGGCCTCTACAACGTGTATTCATTGCTCTTCAAACTTGTGATCTCTGTTGAACTGAAATATGGAAAAAAAGGAGTTTTACGCCAAACTTCTAGACTACACATTTTACAATATTAAAATTTTAGTTTTAATGTGCACTTTACATTTCATTTGCTATGCTGTATTGTGTTGTTCTTTAGTTCCTCATGAAATGTACTGTCACATACAGTATTGCTAAATTTATTTTTGGCAGATTAAACACATTTACAAAATACAGAGCCGTAACAAAAAAGTTTTTTAGATCAACTTCGAGGATGTACAATTTTTGGTTGGGCCGTAAAATCCTCACTTTTGTCATTATTACTGTTACAACAGGTTAGTCTCCTTATTTTAAACATGAGCAGTCACTGCTTTAAATAGTAAATTTAGTTTTCGAATAAATGGTTTTAATGACAATGATGATTTATTTTTCAGCTGTTTTTTTGTTCAATGCCACAGCACACCCGTTATGTTTTTGTGATTATTTTTGGAATTTTGATGCAGTATTTTTTATTTTAATTCATGAGTATTCTTGAATTCAAATACTGTGTGCTTCCACGGATATTTTTCAGTCATTCCATGAATTCCAGTTTGAATAAATCTTGAATCATTGTGACTGATGCTCTGACATTTTGTACCGTAAAATGTATTTTAACCATAAGTTGAATGCTTCTCACCTGTGCGCTTGTATTTATGCAACTGAACTAAAATGTGTTATCCTTGTAGAAATAATAAAAAAAATATGTAAACACTTTCTTTGTTCTTTAGTTTACTTGAATTCCATCTGCAATTAAAAGGTGGCGGTATATACCTACCATATGATACTCAACATGGATAGGGGAGCTGTTTAGTTGTAACTTGTGCTAGATACAAATTTTTTCAATCAACTGTCCCTCCCCCCAGCCATGTTGCAAGAGTTAAAAGTAAAACTACACACCAACAATAACTGCGTGAAGCTCATGTTTTTTCACCCTGTGGATTACGGATTCATGCTGTGAAAGCAAACTGTAAAGGTGCACCTGAAGATTATTGCTCAAATGCATCTGGAGGACATTTTGCCTACTCTTCCATACTAGCCAGACGTCTTGGAAGAAGAACGATTACCCAACTGGTGTATCCGTTTAAAATTAGGAGGGATTTCAGAAACTTTAATATTTCATCTGAGCGAACTACCTATGATGTAACAGCTTACCAATACTAACATCAATAGTGTTTGGGCAAGATTTATGAAGAAATATGTTCACAAAATGTGTATTTTCATTAGAAAATCAACATTCTGCAAACCATTGTGATTACCTCGTGGATGCTTAATTTTTGTGTTTCTGTACATTTCTTTGTACCGTTGAATCTCCAATAATAGTGGAGGTTCATTTAAGATACTGACTTGCCAGAATATTTGTTTAACATATCCCGTAGTCTATACCCCCTATACAACCATGAAGCCTTCGGAGTCCGTTCACCCTGTATCACCGTTATCCCGATAACGCATGTTATCGGGGTTCACTCCACACCGCCACGACGCCCTGACACTTCCATAGTACAGTTTTTTTTGGGTTACATCGCAGAAATATAAATGTGTCGTTAAATCCGCCACCACCCGACACAGCCAATTGGTAAGGTTTGTCAAGTAAACATGCCAATTGCCAATTCTGTTTTGTAAGGGTTGTCACGTAAATTCTGTTTACCTTACTAGTTAGTACGGTTTGTCGAGTAAACAACATGTTAATTGGCAATTCTGTTTATGCGACAAACCTTACTAATTGCTTATGTCGGTGGTGGCGGGGTTAACGACACATTTACACGATCTAACCCCAAAATAAGTATTTTAAAAACACGCTTTTATGAAATGTACTAGTAATGGCAGAACTCCACGACTCCAAGAAGTGGCCCCGAAGCTTGCCATAACATAAGGGACCTTGGTCATTTACAGCCAACGTCAGTTGTCCGTGGACAATTAGACCCAAGCCGAAACATAACATAAAAAATAATGTTTAAAAATATATATTTTACATTTTTATGATAGAATATAGTATTGTCATCAGTATGACATAAGTATGCCAAGTTTGCAGTCGATACCACATTAGGAAGTGGGTTAAAATTGAGTTACAAGATTTGAGGATACAACAGAGTGAGTTAATACTGGTAGGAACCTGGTTACACCAGCCCACAGGCGATTATTGTGTCCGTCCGTCGTGCAGGAAGGGGCTGGGTGGGGAGGGGGTGGGTGGGGCTGGGTTGGGAGGGTAGGGCTGGGTGGGGGGGGCGCTGGGTGGGGAGGGGCTGGTCACCCCGTGGTGCCCTTATAAAACTCAACGTTTAACCTACTCACGCCGGCTTGTGCCCGCCCTCACAGTCGGGCATTTTTGCGGAATACACCACGCCGCCGTTGACCCTGGCCATTGACCGAGCAACCCAACGTTCCTACCAGCTCCCTCCGCAGGAATGTGTTAAAAAGCATGTAATAAACAAAAACTACCTATATTTTCGATATTGGTCGCGGAAGCAAACTTAATACGTGACACTTCCCTCCACGTCCACAAGGAGGGATAACTCCTGCCACACCACCACCTCTCTCCACCATCACAAGCGACTGCACAGACAACCCAGACGTTACCTTAACACGTGTTTAGTGCATTCGCGAACAATATCATCCATAATACAGATTTTTGTTTATTTTTGGGTTAGATGGCGTAACTATAAATGTGTCGTTAAACCCGCCACCACCCGACACGGCCAATTAATAAGGGGGTTTGTCACGTAAACAGAACGCGTCCAATTCGTCACTACGACGACAACAACAACAACACCGGTGTGTTTGGAGAACCAAGCCACAGCATTTACTACAATCGGACGCAAGTGACAAAAGCACACCAATCGGCCACTACGCGGCGGTGACGTCCCCCGTGCCAGGCTAGGTGCACTCCACACCTCCGAAGCTCTTGCACTCTCACCAGCCGCGCAGCGTTTTCCGAGACGGCTTCAAGGAGCGATCGATCGAGGGATCGATCGATCGAGCCGGTGTCGTGATGGTGTCTGCCTCTCGCTACGAGGAGTCGGAGAGACGCGGGGCCCCATGACCACGACGAGCGACTCGTGCTGCCTCCCGATGGCCGAGGCGGCCCCACCGGCCCCACCGGCGGCGCCGCTGCCTCCTCACGACTCGCCTAGAATCGTGCAGACGAAGCGCCTCTACCGGTGGGTGCGCCGCTAGTCGAGCGCGGTGACTTCGCGGCCCTCATCTCGCGGCCTACTCGCTAGGCCTCGGTGGCGTTATCGGAGGGGGGGGGGTCCGTCTTGTTTGATTTTGTTGTTAATTCAACGGATTGATAGTATTCCGTGATGTTGTTTTTCACCATTGGTGTAATTATTGAGCCGTGATCATCTACCGCTTGTTGAGTGGTCCGGGGTCACTTGGGCCTCATTGGTGTTGTTATTTAATCGTGAGGACGAGCCGTGGTCGATCCACTGCTGAATTAAGGGAGGTCTATGGTATTATTTTTTGTTCGTCATCATCATGAACTATGTGCCACCGATGGATGAATGCTCCCTCTCCCAAGTCTGCCGGTGAGCTAGTGGTGATATTGTATGTCCATCATCATCATCATGAGTATTGCTGCTTGATGAAGGCCCTCTCCAAGTCGACCGGCTCGCATGGGCCTCTGAACCACATTACGATGTAGTTCATCATCATCATAGAGCCACGGTCGATGATCCACTTGTGTTTAAAGGGCCCAATCCAAATAGGTCGACTTTATCGTTCCTCATCGGTACGTTGTTCGTGAGACGCTGCAGGATGAATTGCCCCCTTTAACACACAATTGAGACATTTGGACAAACTTCAAACTAAACGAAGAAGCATGTAGAGCTCTTTGTTAATCTGTTGCTAGATTCAGGCCTTCCACGTCGTGGTCATTGCGGGTTGTTTGACCATACTTCACCATGATGGTCAGTGTGGGTTGGTAAATGGAGTGTGGCCCTGGTCCGGTTCAGATTTATCACACGCTCCTGATGTGAGCCGGATTTGAACTCAGGCCGCTGGATGCAAAGCGTTGTGTGCTTACCACTCTCTTGGAATACAGCACATTAGTGTGCAATATTATAATCTCTCATTGATGTGGGTTTCCACACAACTCTCTCTAAAATGTACCAGTCTTCTTCTTGGTTCTTTCGGTAAAGTCACGTAGAAGGGAAGTAATAAAATAATAAAAATAAAACATAATAAAAAATTCTCACGACGTTTCGGCCACAACGCAAGCAGCCGTCCTCAGGTGAAAACCAGGTCTGTCGAGGCGACAGCGTCTGAATGAAACAGCCGAAACGTCGTGAGAATTGTTTTATTTGTTTTATTTTTATTATTTTATTACTTCCCTTCTACGTGACTTTACCGAAAGAACCAAGAAGATGAATCCCTGCAGTCACGAAAGCTTTAAATCGAAATTGTACCAGTCTTGTTGAGTCTTTCAGTGACATACGAATTTCTCTGCTCCAGCAGACCCACCTCTCTCTCTGCCCCCCCTCTCTATTTAAGGCCTCGACACAGAGGCATTGAGTCTCTGTGTGTCTATGTTGTGTCTCTGTGTGTCTCTGTGTTGTCTCTCCCTGCTTGTGTGTCTGTCTGTGTTTTGTCTCTCGCTCAAATTTAGTTCTACCTGATGATGGTTTCTTGTGTTGCAATCGAAACGTTGTATTTTATTATTTTATTTATTTTATTTCTACGTGACTTTACCGAAAGAACCAAAGAATACTCACATAAAGTTTTATGCTGAATACACTCTGTAGGCACCTTTTCAGCTGTGGATAATGCAGTGTGGTTTAGGACAATAATAGGCTTATTTGTCACGTTATAATTGTCGGAAACGGCCTCTGCCATTAATTGGTTCACCGTTTATAAAAATTGAGTGCGAGTTGTAACGCTTCTTTAGCGCTCTCCCTTAGTCAACTGCGTTTAGGGGATTTGGTCCTTATATGTCATTCATGTACAGCTTTGTGGGTTGCTGTTGGCATGAATGACGCTATATAAAATGAAAGTATTCTTAAGTATTATTAAAATGCTGTGTGTCCTGGTGTAACCTGCTTGTAGGGCGGTTGTGGATGTTGTTCATCGGCTGGACACCATAATTTCCAGTTCATCTGTGTGTCAAGAAGTCTTCAAGCCAGAGAATGTGAGCCAAAGAAACAAGTAAGCAATTTGTTTCAATAAAATTGATATCATTGCAAGATGTTAAAATGTTGTTCTGTCATGTGGGTAGGGTGAATTTCATTTAAATGGTTATTTTTATACAATTTAATTCCAATCGTGCGATCGGCATCACGTCATGAGATAAAGTATCCAGAGAATGGCCCACAGAAGCGTATATCACAGAACTACCTCTGTGATCCCTTGAAGTGACATCTGGTCCACACAGTAGGGCACTTTCTCCACCCACTCTGCCACTGAGAGTAATGTTCATCGCATGAGTCAAACTGATATTTTAAATCTTATAACTGTAATTTAGCCAAATTGAGTGCAGAACCAAATTTAAACTAATCCTTTTTTTTTGTACCACCATTGGTTACTGGGCTGAGACCATCGGCATACTACACTGAATAACTCTGTTTAATAACAGGCTACCTTGATTTGATCCCAGGATCTCGGCAGTATGATTTGGTGCTGTGATCTCTGGGCCACTTCGTCACCTCAGGGTGCATATAAAACATAGCTGCTCTAATCATAATTGAACCTGCAGTTTTTGCA